ATGGTTCTCGCTTAGTGGAGAGATGGGCTGGGGTTGCTTGTTCTTCAGTATCGAGTTGGGAGTGATTGACCGTCGCCAATTTCGACCAGCAGGGCGCATGGAGAGCTGGACGGACTGATTGCTTCCGAAAGACGAATGCACACTAGCAGGCGGAGCATCGTATGTCTCGACGAACTGCCAGCATGCTTCTTTTGCATCCGCTTCAGGGACATGCGCTTGGCACTGTTCGTCGTTGCCTTCCATCTGCGAGTCTTGTTCGGGTTGATAGCGAGGTAATTGGCGCAGCTCAGGCCATGACTGTTCCATGACAACAAACTCATTGCGATCGACTTGTTGGGTATAGGCTTCGCGAACGGTGACGTAAAGCCTTTTCTTTCCACCAGAGACTCTCATCATAACGCCGGCTGATAGGAATTGAGCATTCCAGAGCGCGCTACTAGACATCTCGGCGGGAGTGAGAAAACGTAGTCGCGACTCTTTGAGTACTTTTCGCAGCGGTATGTAGGGTGCTCGAAGACCTGGGTATGCAGAGATCATGGGGTTTTCGTCACTATCATCATACTGCAGATAATCGAAGACGTCAGAGAAGGCATGTGACAAAGCTTCCTGGATGTCTTTGGCGCTGGAACCTTTGAACGTAACGTCTCGGACAAAACCTCTGCTTTGGAGGCGCTTGTAGACCAGATTGTTGCTACCACAGGCTTTCGGAAACAGCCAGTCATCGGTGGATCCTGAGGCCCAGTTACTGATGTCTTGGCTACTCCAACCGTTATCGGCCTGGCTAGATATAGATCCTCTGACCGAGTTGCGAGCACCAGGGTATGGGCTTGAATCTGAGTCTCGCCCCAGGAATGGCAGGCTCTTTATAGTCTTCAAGGTATGAGCTTGGGTCCACTCTTCAGAGTTCTGGGTTGTCGTCTTCGCTATGTCATGCATGGGTTCATCAGGCGAGAACCAGATGCCTTTCAAGTCCGGACCCCATGGTAGTAGGACAACTTCCACTTCCCAAGGTTGCAAGGATGTGGGCGGCGCCGCAGCTTCAAGTACGTCCAATCGCTCTTTGATGTTATCGAGCTCCATCTCGGTATCTTTGCGGTCCATGGCCGCAAGGATAAGGGCGGACGAAGTGGTAGAATCAACAGAGTGATTGGAGCCAAATGACGTGGTGGCGTTGTCGATGCGCCTTCGGCTAAAGGAGCTGGTGCTACTTTGCTCGTCCATAGCTTCATGCATGCGTTCATGCTCATCCATGCGATGCTCCACGTCAATGAGCCTACCTTCGTACATCTCCAAGGTGTTGTTGAGATCCTCCGGCTGAACGTAATTGAAAGATCCATTCTCCAGTAAGTCTAGGCGACTACCAAGTTCCTGCATAGTCTTGGCTACGTTGGGTATGGAGTTCAACAAGTTATGGAGAGGTGCAAGGTAGGAGACTAGCTTCTGGAGACCTTGCGGAGGAGCCGATTGGAGGAGGGTTTGCAGCTGTTCCTGTGGTCCTGCAGTAGCGTTGTTGGGCAAGAGCTGGGTTGGAACTGTGCCATATGTCTGCCGCTCAGTTGAGCTAGTCGATTGCTGTTGGATTTCCGAGGTAATGCGCTTCATTGCGTCGATCATGTCCTTCCCGTCCTGTACAGCCCGATCAGCAGCGCTCAGATCTGGAGTGTTCCCAACGCTTGGAGTAGCCACTTCGGTAGCGCTTTGTACGTATTCCTCGGGGTTGTAGGTGTTGGGTATGGTATCGCCAGGCTCGTCGGGCTGGAAGTTGCGATTGAACTCAAGTACCTGCTCGAGGATACCGCGCGATGGGCTGGTGATGTTCGCTCTGCCCGGGGAGATGACGTGCTCGTTGGGTAGCTTTCGCGGGGTATGGGCGATGTTGATGTCGTCGGGTATAGTGGATGTAGGCGACTGTTGACGGTTAAGCTGAGCCATGCTCTCCAAGTTCATCATAGATAGACCAAGACCTGCCACCGTCTGGCGCGACTGATTCACGCCATACCTAGCTTCGCTGTTAGCTACTGGGCGGCGTTCATGAGATAGCAAGCACACGGAAGGAAGTCCAGGAAGGCCGCTGGTGCTGATTTGTGATGGAGTGTCCTGACTTTGTAGCAAGCGACCAAACGAGTTGGTCTCAGAGGGCTGTCGCTGGGGGCGCTGGCTAGGACTGGAGTGTTGATGTATGCGCGCATTGTATATGGCTTGACCCCCTTCAGACAGAAGGTTGTCCCCCAGCTGTCGCATGGCAGCACTCGTGTCGCATTGCGCGCTTGCCTGCAATTGGCGCGGCTCTTCGCCTGTCGCATAGAGTGGTGGCAGCGGGAGATTCATCGACAGCGCCTGCCTCTCTGGCGCACGCGTCGCCCTCAGATGGAAGCAGGCATGGTGCCCGCAAACACACCACGTGGAGCGCTCGCTGCTAGGCCGGTGGTCGGCGCTCTCATCGTGCAGCTCGGCGCTGAGCTTGTCCCAAAACTGGTCACATCCACACTGTCCTATGTGCGCGTCGCGATAGTTGCAGGGCCCGTCTGGCAGCGATCGTCTCGAGGGAGTTGGTTGCGACGGCGCATGGTGACTTTGTCGCGTGACATGAGTATTTGGGTCGCCGAACCCCGCCATTGATGTTGATGGCAGCGCATCCCGCATAGGACGCGAACAGTCTAGGAGAGAGACATGTCGCGGTTCCTGTTGAAGCTTTCATCCCGTTAGCACGTTTCCAAGGGAAATTCTGGTGGGGCCGAGGGCATACCGAAGATTGTGCGAGCAGACTGCGAAAACCAGGCGACGTCGAGGGGAGGAGCGCCGGGTCTTTATAGACGGGCAGGGCGCAGCTGGGAGGACGCGACGGACGCGACAGAACTGGTGGGCACTTGAGGGGAAAGAGGCCGTGGATACTTTTGGGCCGTGACTGTTTAGCACGCATGCACGCAGCCCGCAGCGGTTTAGTCACGGCTGCCTCAGACACTTCCCCGGAGTCTGGGTACGCGCGGGACAGGCCTATCGATACAACGACGCCCACGTGATTGGCCGAGGGCACGCATCCCTCCGCCTCCCCTGCTTAGCTGACATCCGGCCGAACACCCTGGCCGTTTGCTACCCAGCCGTCGAATCCAGCGACGCTATAAACGCCATGTGCGGCCGGCGAAGGGTAAAAAGTAAACCCTCCATCATGGCCCTGATACTTCTGAGAAAAAGCGATTCTTCTGCGCTCTCGCCAGCTCTACATGCTCAACTCCCATTTGTCAAGGCAGCAACAACACTATACATGGCGCCTTTCTAGTCGACCAACCATGCTGCTCATTGGCCAGTACTCACGGAGGACTGTTGCGCATGCTGCATTGCATCTGCACGTCCAACAGGCCCGACCATGGAGACTTGCGCATGGCGACAAGTTTCGACCCAGACATCAGCCTCGCCATGGACCCATCTGTACAAGGCAGAACCGTATGCGACTAGTTGTCGTCAGCGCTGCGTCTGCGCTGCATCTGGCAGGGTCTCGATCGGGAAGGCGGGCGCTAGTCGAGGATATGAGTTTCAAGATTGGGAGATACAAGTATCTACCGAGCGCTCGTCCCACCTTGTGATGAGTAGGGTGCAACCACCACTTGTCCATCTCACATGCTAAACGTCGAGGCCGCGAAGCGCTTACGCACCCAACCAATATTCTCGCTGTTGGGTGGGTGTCATCATGGTGTCTTCCAAGATCAGCATGCACATGTACATCTTGATCGTATAACAATACCATCGATTATCTTTTGGGTATAGTACCTGGATTGCATGTTTCGCCTCATGTGTCCACCGTTAAGAAGTAGACGTGAAGGTCCTTCGAATCAGGTACACCTCCAGCCATACTTGGCATCTCTTCATCCATGTTTGCCATCTAGTCCTGCTCATCCGTCTTCCCCAGTCGAATATTCACGTCCAAGTCTACCATCCAAATCGGCTCTCTTTAGCCCATCTTCCCTACTCCTCCCTTCCCCTCGGCACAACACACCCCGCCGTAACCAAACTGTCTTCCTTGACTTTGAAGCAATGAACCGTATACGGCGGAATCCTCATCGCAACTCCAAGATGCATCTTCATCTCCGTCGGCTGCAGCTCACTTTCAAAGTCAGTAAACACCTCTCACACACCTTCCTCACAGTCAACACATACCTCATATCCACTTTCCCCGGCTCAACATCCAACATCCCTTTCTCCACGCCCGTCAACGGCCGTCCATTAACCTCCACAACCGCCTCCCCCTCCTCAAGTAAATAATAACACTCATCCGTCGTAAACCTCACCGCCGACTGAAACTGCGCTTGCAGCAGCATACGGTGTGCGAGCCAGAACCTGTTGTTGCTCATGTAGTATTGCATCGCCGCATTGTTGTTCCGCGAATTATTGATTTCGACAATGGCTTCTGGGATGCGGGGAGCGCGGAGGTGGGGACAGCACATTGGCGCGAGGTCCTTGGATGCGAATTGGGACTTGACTTGAGCCTTCGTCCATTTGGTGATTTGGGGTAAGCCGTAGGTTTCGACGTCGACGAGTTTATCCATGTCTGTCCAGGAGACCCAGAGGAGGGAGATGGGTGATGTTGATAGGGTGGCCATTTGGTGGGTGGGATGGTGGATGTAGGTGGGGAGGAGGGCTGTTGTAGATGGAGGGGGGGATGATTGAGTACAAGGTAGCTCGATGGTAGGTTGGCAGGCGCATGGGTAAAGGTACGTGAGGTGAGAGAAGTGCTGTTGGTCGCGGAAGATAGGGTTTAGCCCGCAAATTGTAGGTGAAGGTGAGTCTGCTGCGGAGCGACATCAAGTAGGGAGGACGATAATGAAATCCTCGATACATATAAGAGCATCTAATCATGGACATGGTGCTTGCTAGCATACAATCGTAAAACAACCGCACGAAAATTTCGACTCTGCAAGAGAATGTTGCATTGTGTTCAAGATGCCCTCTCACCCTCCAACTCAGTGATAGTAGCAGTATCTAGATCGGTCAAAACATCCCCAGCCCTAAGCCAGTCTCAACCCATTCTCCTCAGGCTTAAACCACTCCCTCAGCAGATCCTCCAAAATCTCATTAGCGCCCGTCTTCGCCTCCTCACTGCTCTTCCCCTGGCACTCAATGTAAAGCTTAATCTTCGGTTCCGTCCCGCTGCCTCTGACTGTAAACACGGCCCCATCATCTAGCTCACAGGTGATCATCTGGCTAGTGACATCAACCGGTAGATCGGGTTTGTGGTCCTTACTCTTTGAGTCATAGCCCAGGGTCAGGTCTCGCCAGCGCGCGATCTTACGGGAGCCAATCGACGTTGGGTGGGGGCTGCCCAGTGCGCGGATGGCTGTGAACACCGATGTCGTCACGGATGGCGATGGCGAGACGAGGTATGTGTTTGCGTCTTCGAAGTAGCCAAGGTATTGGTAGAGCTGTTGCAGCTTGGAGTAGGGCGTGAGGCCTTGGGTGGACCAATGCGATGCCGCGGTTAGGAAGACTGCGGCTGCGCTGATGGAGTCTTTATCGTGTACCGTTTGGGGGATCATGTATCCCAGCGCTTCTTCAAATGCGTAAACGACATCGTACCCCTCGCTATCGAGTTGTCGTGCTACGTTTCCAAGCCACTTGAACCCGGTCAAGGTTTCGGTAAACTTGAAGCCTTCCTTCTTCGCTAAGGCTGCGAGCATTCTGGAGCTGACAGTAGAAGCCAGCATTGCAAGCTTTTCCCGCGGTTTCGATGCGGGGTAGCGTTCGTAGAGGTAAGATCCAAGCAGCGCTCCGAGTTGGTTCCCGCTGAAGATAAGCCATTTATCTCCTACCTTCTCTGCTGCCGCAAGTCGATCTGCATCGGGATCGCTGGCGAGAATCAGGCGTATCGAGGACTTCTCTGCCGTTTCGATTGCCAAGTCGAGCGCACCCTTCTCTTCAGGGTTCGGGAACTTGACTGTGGGAAAGTCGGGGTCGGGTTGTGCTTGAGCTTCCACCACGGTCATCTGCGAGGCTACGCCAAGTGTCTCTGCGCATCGCTGCATCGCGGGAAGTCCAACACCGTGCATCGGTGTGTACACAAATCTGAGCTCTGGGTCTATCTTGACCTTGACATGCTCGGGCTGTGCGGCACATAGGACGGCCTGGTGGTACTTGTCTTGCACCAAATCCAGACTTCCTTCCACCAGAAGGGAAGACTCTATCACAGTTGTATCCCAAGTGACAGGCTTGAGATTCTCCATGATAGATTCGGCGATTCCGACGTCGTGTGGGGGGATGATCTGGCACCCGTTCGACCAGTAGACCTTGTATCCGTTGTCTTTGGCCGGATTGTGGCTGGCAGTAATCATGATACCAGCAGCGGCGTCGAGTTCGCGCACGCCAAAGGGAACCATGGGCGTATGGCTCGGGTCCTCATACCACCACACCTTGATGCCCTTTGCGACGAATGCAGCTGCGGTGAGCTTGGCAAACTTTTCCGAGTTGTGCCTCGCATCCCGCCCAATGACCACACCCCTTCTCTCAACGTTCTTTTCGGTTTTGAGTAGGTACGCTGCTAGTCCTTGGGAGGCTTGAATCACTGTCAGAGAGTTCATGCAGGCGAAACCGCCCTGCATGGGCCCCCTGAGTCCAGCTGTTCCGAAGGCAATACGATGTCGAAGTCGCTTTTCGAGTTCCTCGGTATCGCCATCCACCAACAACTTGTAGATCTCATCTGTCGTTGATTTGTCCTCGTCGAGCTCCAGCCACTCTTTCGCTAAATCCTTGATATCTCGGGTCATGATTGGAATCTCGAATTCTGGAGGACGCCTTGGGTGATGTGATTTGTTCTGAGAAAGGATAAAATTGAGAGTGGAAGTCAACAAATGTCACTTGACAGAGAAAGGTCACGAAGTAGAAGGTGATGGAGTGTCGGAGTTTGCCGACAGAAAGCGCGTAATAGCAAGCTCAAGTGGGCACCTGCCGCATTTATGCTCTCCAAGACTTTGAAATTTCTCGAAGCTCACGTGTAGATTATGGTGACCTATTACTTACATATACGGCGCTGCAGGGCCACACACGCTCTCAGCTTGATATGTGAGGTCGTTGCTGGATGTGGCTCTTGGTGGCGAGGAACGTGGGGGCGTGCAGGGTCCTGGCGGGCAAGCTTCGGAAGTTTATCAGCTCATGATCTCCTGTTCCACTGGCTGGCTTCGGCGCAGCTCACCGCAACGCCTAGCTCTTCCTGAGACGCCGCGAAGCTATGGACTGATTGTCTGTACATTGAATTTCGTTCGTCAATTGAGCCCGCACCTGGACAACCGTTTGTGCACGCTTTGTGTACCACACCGCACCGCAACATGGCCGCCCAGGCAGACAGGAAGTCAAGAGTCTTCAGTCGAAGAGAGATCGAGGCCCAAATCGCCAATGGACGCTCAATTGTCATCGTAGACGGGAAGGTCTTGAAGGTGGACGCATGGCTGCCCTATCACCCAGGCGGTGACAAGGCCATCGCGCACATGGTGGGACGAGATGCCACAGACGAAGTCACTCGGTATGGTCTCCCGTGTTACCCAGGAAAGCTCAATGCTGACTTGTGCACCCAGATTCCACTCTGCGCAGACGCTCGAGCTCATGAATCGCTACCAAGTCGGCCGTATCGAAGGACGATGGACCAACTTTCTGCCGCCGATACAGGGAGGAAAGTTCCGGACACAGGAAGAGCTGGATAGACTCTCAGAGGAGGAGTACATGGAATCATGCTCCTCTTCAGAACAGGATACTGTTAGTTCAGCCTCCTCGGCAAACAGCAGCCCGCTCTTCGAACCAGCAGATCGGCCGTCTGCTTCGATGCGCAAGCGCAACGGAGCCGATGTAACCAGGGCTTCCTCGAGCTCAAGCGTCTCATCGGTCGAGCTAGATGACAGGGTCACTCCGAAGATGACAGTGCTTGACAGGCGGACTCAAGAAGAGCTGGATTTCGACAAGGCCAAATACCCGTCCCTGGACCCGGCCACTCAAGATCGGATCACTCAAAAATACCGCGACTTGCAAGTGCGCATAAAGCAAGAAGGCCTCTACGACTGCAATTACACTGCTTACGGTATCGAATGCCTACGCTATGGGTCTTTCTTGGCCGCTTTCATATTCCTGCTGACGAAGGGGTGGTACATCACCAGTGCCATACCACTTGCGTGCTTTTGGCACCAGCTCACGTTCACAGTCCATGATGCTGGACACATGGGTATTACGCACGACTTCACGACCGACTCGACCATCGCAATGTTCATCGCCTCCTACTTGGGCGGTTTAAGTGCCTGTTGGTGGAAATACAGCCACAACGTTCACCATCTCGTTACCAACCATCCCGAACACGACCCTGACATCCAATACATTCCTTTCTTCGCTATCACTCATCGGTTCATGGAGAGTCTCACTACAACCTTTTACGAGTGGGCCATGGAATACGACGCATTCGCAAAGGTCATGATCCCGCTACAGCACTACACATATTACCCGATCATGATGGTAGCGCGTTTCAATCTTTACAGACTGTCCTGGATGTATTTGCTCCTTGGAAAGGGGCCCAAGAAAGGACCAGCTTGGTGGCACCGATATTTCGAGATGGTGGGCATGTCGTTCTACTGGACTTGGTTCGGCTATGGAGTCGTGTACAAGACCATACCCGACAACTGGAGCCGCTTCTGGTTCGTCTTGATTGCCCACGCCGTTACGTCGCCGCTCCACGTGCAGATCACGCTGTCTCATTTCGCTATGAGTACGGCAGATTTGGGTATCCATGAATCCTTTGCGCAGAAGATGCTTCGTACGACGATGGATGTTGACTGCCCGCAATGGTTGGATTTCTTCCATGGTGGCCTGCAGTTCCAGGCTATCCACCACCTGTATCCGAGAATCCCTCGGCACAATCTGAGGCAGACCCAAAAGTTGGTGCAGGAGTTTTGTAACGAGGTGGACATACCGTATGCGTTGTACGGTTTCCTGGATGGTAACAAGCAAGTCGTTGGGCGACTGGCTGATGTAGCCAGGCAGGCTGCTATTTTCGCTGAATGCCAGAGGACCATTGCTGCGGAGGGAGATTATGGAATGCATTGAGAATAGATCATGAACATATAGAGCAATCGAATGCATTCACACATCCACTTGGTTGGAGTTTACATGTTAAGGACGGCCGTGTCTGCCAGCATTGCTTCACCCCAAATGTCTGCCCAGGCTGCACGTAAATATTTGAGCAGCAAGCTTGCTGCAGATGCTTGCGCAGATCACTATCCGCTCGGATGAAGTTCCGATACCGAAGCCAGGGTCGGAAGGGAAGTGGAGGCTGGCAAGCATGCTGTCCGCCGTCTTCCGGCGTCTTGAGATCATATTGAGAGGTCCTGCACTGGCACACGAAGTGGTGGCATCAACATAGCCGTAGAATTCAGCTTACCGGCAAGATCCAGGTCGTACGGTTGCCATTCTCCCGCTCAGTCAGCTCAGGTACATATCACGCCATGGATGGCATATCGTGAGAATTGGCGGCAGGAACGCGTCGCTCACTAGCGTGATTCTCGACTGACCCCACCTCGGTCCATCGAACCATGACGCAACCGACAAACACCTGCAAAAGGAATTTGTCGCTATGATGGTATCGCGCTGCAGTAGCATGATCCCACTCAGAGCACCAATGGCAGAGCTCAATGGACCAGGCGAACGTCTCCGGTCGTACCGCTGGCCAGGTTTCAAGCTTCCAGTCGCGCATACTGACGCGCGACTGCTTAAAGGCGCTCTTCGTCCCAACCTTACGTGAAGCTGTTACTTCTGAATCGTTTCACTCCTCCACTACTCACAATTGGTCATTGTAGCCTCCATCGTATCTGTACTACTTGGCTACATCCTCAGACCTAGCTCCATTCAAGACCTTACCTAAAGCACGAAAGGTTGTACCTTTCCACCAACCTGCAATCATGGATGCCATGGTAGCGAAACCTCCAGCAGATCCCGACACCCTCGTCGAGGATGTCGAACACCTCAGCATCTCGCCATACGGGCCCGCGAGGTCCTCAATCACTGAACACCCGCTCAGCGAGGATGAGGTGCGGAAGATGACCGACTACTTCCATGCTTCTCTATACATGTGCCTCGGCATGATATATCTGAGGAGAAATCCTCTGCTTCGCGACCCGCTTACTCTGGATCACCTCAAGCGACGCCTGTTGGGACATTGGGGCTCGGATGCTGGACAGAGCTTCACATACATCCACATGGTAAGAACCATCGCACGAGTCCGGATATTGGGAGGTGCTAATAAGATGCGCAGAACCGTCTCATCAAGAAGTACGATCTGGATGCCATCTTCATTTCTGGCCCTGGTCATGGCGCACCCGCTGTTCTCTCAAACAGTTTTCTGGAAGGAGTCTACTCTGAGGTCTACCCCGACAAGAGCGAAGATGAAGAGGGCATGAGGCGCTTCTTCAAGTCGTTCTCGTTCCCGGGTGGAATCGGATCCCATGCTACACCAGAGACGCCCGGCAGCTTGCACGAGGGCGGAGAGCTTGGTTACTCCATCTCCCACGCTTTCGGCACAGTGTTCGATCACCCAGATCTCATTGCTCTGACGATGGTTGGAGACGGCGAGTCTGAGACCGGCCCGCTTGCTACGAGTTGGCACTCGACCAAGTTCTTGAACCCAATCACGGATGGTGCGGTCTTGCCTGTACTGCACTTGAACGGCTACAAGGTATGTGTTGAACTTTGCGGAAGGATATGTCGCTGACAAGATACAGATCAACAACCCCACTGTCCTCGCGCGCGTAAGTCGCAAGGAGCTCGAAGCGCTCTTCGTCGGTTACGGATGGACGCCTTACTTCGTCGAGGGAAGCGATATCCCGTCCATGCACCAAGCAATGGCTGCTACGATGGAACGATGCATCACGAAGATCCGCGAATACCAGAAGGAAGCTAGGGACTCAGGCAAGGCTTTCAGGCCGCGCTGGCCCATGATCGTGCTCCGTACACCCAAGGGATGGACAGCGCCCAGGCATGTCGATGGAGATCACTTCTTGGAGGGCTTCTGGCGCGCACATCAAGTACCCCTCACCAAGGTTCTTAAGGACAAGTCCCAGCTCAAGACTCTGGAAGAGTGGATGCGCTCATACGAGCCGGAGAAGCACTTCGACAAGGACGGCAAGCTCATTCCCGAGCTTAGGGAGTTGGCGCCAACCGGCAACAGGAGGATGAGCGCAAATCCTGTGACAAATGGCGGTCTGATCCGACACAAGCTCCACGTACCCGACTTCCGTGACTACTCTATCGAGGTCACCAAGGGAGGTGTCGCCAAGGTTGGTAGCATGGCGAACTGCGCCGCCTTCCTGCGCGATATCATCAGAGATAACCAGAAAGACTTCCGTCTCTTTGGCCCCGACGAGACCGAATCCAACAAGCTGGGTAAGGTGTACGAGGCGGGCAAGAAAGTCTGGATGGGCGAGTACTTTGACGAAGACGAGGATGGTGGCAACCTAGCCTTTGCAGGACGCGTTATGGAGATGCTTTCAGAGCACACTGTTGAGGTAAGACACGAGCCATTGCTCGATGCCACATTTCTAACTCCACTCAGGGTTGGCTAGAGGGCTACATCCTCTCTGGACGACATGGCCTGCTCAACAGTTACGAGCCTTTCATCCACATCATCGACTCCATGGTCAACCAGCACTGCAAGTGGATCGAGAAGTGCCTTGAAGTCGAATGGAGACAGAAGATTGCTTCACTCAACATCCTACTTACTGCCACTGTCTGGCGACAAGATCACAATGGATTCACACACCAAGATCCAGGCTTCCTTGACGTCGTAGCAAACAAGAGCCCCGAGGTCGTCCGCATCTACCTCCCACCAGACGCCAACTGCCTGCTCTCAACGATGAACCACTGCCTCCGCAGCGAAAACTACGTCAACGTCATCGTTGCCGACAAGCAGGAGCACCTCCAGTACCTCACCATGGAGCAAGCTATTGCCCACTGCACAAAGGGCGTTGGTATCTGGGAATGGGCGAGTAACGACAAGGACCAAGAGCCCGACATCGTCATGGCCTCATGCGGTGACGTCTCCACTCATGAGTCCCTCGCCGCAACAGCATTACTCCGCACACATCTCCCCGACCTCAAAATTCGTTTCGTAAACGTCGTCGACCTCTTCAAGCTCATCGACGAGGACCAGCACCCCCACGGCCTCAAGGCGCATGAGTACAAGGCCATTTTCACCGACAACGTACCTTGCATCTTCAACTTCCACTCTTACCCTTGGCTGATCCACCGCCTGACGTATGGCCGCAAGGGCCAGCAGAACCTGCTTGTCCGCGGATACAGGGAGAAGGGTAACATTGACACGCCTCTTGAGCTGGCTATCAGGAACGGTACTGATCGCTATAGCTTGGCGATTGATGCGCTGGATAACATCCCCAGCTTGGGTAACAAGGGTGCGGCGACGAGGGAGAAGCTGCTTGATGAGCAGATCAAGGCGAAGAACTATGCGTACCATGAGGGTATGGATCCTAAGGAGACGGAGGACTGGGTTTGGCCTTTCTAGATGCTCCCGTTGCAGTTGGGATTGAGTGAGTGATTGTGGGTTCTTTCTTGTGGGCTGAGATTGGAAGTTACGGTCTTGTATGATAATGATAGCATGAATGATGCAGAACATCGCACGTTACGAGCAAAATTTGAGCGTGAAGCAACCGTGTAGTGATGCAGAAATAGTCTTGGTTTCCTATGAACCGACCTATGCAGAATGCGAAATGCAAGACAGCCTAAGCTGCCAAACCCAAAGCGCCTTTTCTATGCAATGTGAATATGATCTACGCGCGCACTGAGCGCGCATCCACAACCAAAACGCCGCAAACACCATGCTTTCTAACTCTCCCCAAAAAATGCAAACAACAATAAAGCGAAGCCGAAGCTCTAGAAATCATAAGAAGTATTAACAACGCTCAACCCCAGTCTCATATTATCCACCGTCTTACCCCCCACACCTTTCAGCATAGCCAGCGATTCCAGATCCATTATCTCAGCATCATCCATTTCGACCAGGCAGTTCACAATGTTATCCGCTTTCTTTGCACCGACACCCTTTAACGCTTTGATCTGGTTGACGTCGCGCGAGTTGATGATCTTGAGGAGGTGGCTGGTACGAGGCGTTTGTTGGACAGAGGCAGAGGCGGAGTGAGACGGAATATTGGCAGTGGTGGTAGTAGTCAGAGTCGTAGTCGTGGTCGGGGCAGTGTCGTCGCGGAAGATGGGCAGTTTCTTAGTCGTCTTTTTCGGTTTGCGGGCGGGCTTGGATTTGCTGGTGTACTGGAAGCTGGTGTCGGAGGCGTAGGAGTCTTCGTGGTCGGAGGGAGGCGCGGGAGCGAATTCTTGGTCGTCTTCGGAGTCGTCTTTGTAAACCATCTTTGGCTTCGACTGTTTCTTTTCGACGGCTTTGAGGGGGGCCATGAGGAGGTTCGAGGGGGCCGCTGCGGCGGCGGTGTGCGAGGGTAGCTCTACGGGGGCGGAGACATGCTTGGCGGATTCCTCCTTCTTTGCGCGTATCCGGTCTTCGAGGGCTTTCATCTTGGATTCTAGCTTTGCGTTGCCGGGGAAGAAGGGCTGGGCCAGGTGGTACATTCTAAGCGCGCTGGCATCCTCTCCGCGCATGTGATGTTGCTTCGCCATAAGCAGGAATTGTAGACCCTGCGACTTTCCGTCCTCTTCGTGTGCATCGATACGGTGCTCGAGCTCGTCCAAGCGCTTCTGCAACTCTGCTGAAAGCGCTGGCGCAGCGGTACCGGCGTCTTGCAAGGCCTTCTCTGCCAGCCTCTCATCCACCTTCTGTGCAATGAGAGCCTCGATCGAAGCCTTCGTCAAAGCGGGCTCTCTGTTCGGTATCCGTGAGGTGTTATCCCCAGTTCGGAATGCCTTCGTTGGTCGCGTTGCGAAAGTGCTGCTGGGTTCAGCCGCTCGCTTGGAACCCTCAGTCCTTCGTACTCCTTGGTTCTGTGCAAGGTTAGAAACGCGAGGAGCAGCGGCAGCAGCCTTGCGAGCGTCAGAGTATACAGAGAAGGCCTTGGTAGGCTTTTCTCCTTTCTTCCCCTTCTCTGGCTCCGGGATGTTCGCGTTGTGTGCGGCCGCGATGGATCGTAGCGGTTGCCGTGACATTGTTGCTCCGCCGACACTACTAGTTATCGCCAATGGCTTGACTGCTGTCCTGTACATGGGGTCGTTCTCCACCTCTGCGATCTCGATCTTCTTCGTCCGGCTAGCGAAGTTCAAGGAACTAATGGTGTCGAGGTGGTATGCGCGGGTCGGCGCAAGGTTCAGAATCATGACAGTTAAGCCCTTATTCTGACCCAGCGATAAGATTCTCGTCATCTTGGACTCGCGGTACGGGATCCGGCTGGCCTTCTTGTTCATAGCTTCTACGCATTGAGCAAGTACAAATAGCGACTTGTTGATGGCCGAGCTCTCGACCAGACGCTCCTTGTTGTTTTCGGTTCGTCGGTTGTCTTCGGATCCTGCAAGATCAATGCAAGATGCTCGGCTGACGCGAACCGTGTCTTCGGTAGTTTGCGTGATCTTCACGCAGAGAACGGCATGGGATCGGGAGGAATGCGCGTTGAGCTGCAGCATCATTAGTAATGTTTACCTCTAACGCGTGTAAAGCCTCACCTTAGTAGCGGATGTTGACCTGTTCATGTTGGCCTGGTCATAAAGCTGCTCAAACTCCTTAAGCGTTGTGCATGGCTTCTCTGTAAGACCAACGACGACAGTCTTGCCCTTGTTGTCTCGGATGGGCAGGCCAGACGGGGTGCGCTTCTCCGGCGGTTCGAACAGATCGTAGACGCGATCGCAGTAGATCTCGAAGTATTCCAGGGCGACCTCGACGTGTGTGGCTCCAGCCGTGTCCTTCTCGATCTTCTTGCAGCGTCGGTATATTGAGCTCAACAGTCTTGGGATGACACCGCGGTCCGCCAGCGACTTTCCTCCTCGCATCGTATGCGTCTTGCCGGTGCCGGTGCAGCCATGCGCGAAAATAGATAGATCGAAGCCATTGAACAGGTGCTTCACCGTCGGCGCGACTGGTTTGGAGTCAATTCAGGTCCGAAACGCGTCCGTCGCGAACTCACTCTCGGCATCGAAAAGCTGCTGCTGCGTCGCGTCCTGCTCGTACACAGAGCTAAATTGGAAGCTGAAGGACTCGGCCTCGTTCTTCGGACTCGGTATCCGCACGACCGCCGGGGTGGTGTCGCCCTCCAATGTCTCGGCGGTGACGATGGTGTCTTTGTCGAGCTCCTGTTTCAGTAGAGGACGTATCCTCGCGACGACGCGTACGCTCATGGTGACGACCGGCAAGGAGGATGGCGATAGGGTGAAAAGATACGAAAAACTCTACGTCTACAGAGAAAGGAATGCCAGACCAACCGGACGCGACGTCGAGACTCGAGGCTCTGGCGACATGCAAAGGGCCTGTCCTAGCGTAAATGGCGGTCTGTGTTGTCCTTCCTTGTCGAAACTCGCCTGTTGCCCCGAGCGACCCTCAACCGCCCAGACGAATGAACATCGGGCACGTGCAAACCCGCCAACACATCTCGATCCACTACAATATCGTCGATAGCTATAGCTGATGCTTGCAGGCATCTAGGTCGTCTTCTATCGTGACCTCGACCTTGGTGTTGTGGAGAAATCCCCACAGGGTTCCGGTCTCAACGCATCCAACAGCCGAGAGACAGCACATACTGCATGAAGACGCGGAAACCGGCAGCACTTGACAGACTCGGATCGCGGAATCGAGCCTCCTTCAGAAGAGTTATTTCTGGCATATGGAGATCTGGAGGCTCTGCGCGGGTAGCAGACGTTCGGCCAGGCGCTTCAAGGTCGTGGACTCGACGAGGCCATGCCGCCATCTCATTGGCCCGAGGATGAAACATGTACCCAGCGCATCAGAGCACCACAGCCACTCCTCCAGTTACCAGCGCTACTTTCCTATGGAGCTTGAGTGGCACGCCCAAATTACAGGCAACTGGAGCCATGCTGGGCCAGTACTACTCTTTGTTCCATTGTATACTCAAACTGTGCTCAAGGCGGCTAATGCAGCTTCAAAACCCGATGCCAGCCCGCGTAGCAATGAGACACCGCCGTAGCCATCTGAACGTTTAGCCTGTGGTTTGCTTGAGACGAACGATTTTCGTTTCTTTCCTAGGTGTCTTTCCTTACCGTCTGTTTCTTCTCCTTGTCGATCGTTTCTCTTAATCGTTCACTATCTCAGTTTCGTCCTTCAGTCCATCGCTTCCTTATTCTGCCTGCAAGCGCCGTCTTTCTCCTTCATCCACTCTTAATAATTTGTCGTCTTGACGATGGCTATCTTCTCCACAATTCTGCTGCTGGCAGCTTGCTCTACATCCATAACCGCCGGACCCGTTCCAAAGAACCACCGAAGACAACTGTGAGGAACCCAAGCAAGTACTTTGAGAAACAAACACTGACTTCATGAAGCTTTCCTAGATATTCCAACACTACTTCGACAATCGCATCAACATCAATACAGCAACTTGCAGAGGCAGAGACCGCTATCATAGTGGAGCCTATCCAGCAAACTATCTTCTCTTCAATAGCACCAGCTATCACGTTCGTTCTTCCTGACGGGAAGCCACTGGTCACACAAGATCCGCAGACTGTGTTTTCTACTTCCTACATCACACCATCACCTCTGCCAACCACAGAGGAGACTTCAAGCGCAGCGGCTACATCCTCAGTCACACCAAGTCCGAAACCAACGCCCACAGAGAGCAGCGATGTGCCAGTATCGTCGGCATTATCAAGTTCGGTTGCCGCCGTGGAAAACAAGACAGCAAGCGAGACAAGTCGAAAGGCTCCTATGTTCACCTACTCGCCAATAGAAGAGACGTCCACCTCGCTTGCCACTCCAACCGTACCGGCGTCAAGTGCTGTCCTAGCATCTACCACAACTGCACCGGTGACAAGTGCGGTCCAAGCACCTAACACTGGCGGCTTACCTGGCTTCACTCATCCTGGGGCGGCACCCTCAGGCTCGCCCTCTGTCAACACCACCACCAGTGCGATTATCACCAGCCTATCTTCTGTGATCGAGTCGGTCATACAAGCGCCATCTTCCACCCCTCTGGCCAACTCAACTTCTCTGGCAATCCCAGCCCCTGTATCGAGCGGATCGTCTACAGCTATCCTCCCCTCAGAGACTGCTTCAGACACCATTGATGTAACATCGCGCATCATCGTCACGCAATACACCACTATCTACGCGACATCCCAGCCGCCTCAAATGTCTACTCAAGAGTCAGCTATACCAACTGAAGCTCAAGAGTCTGCCCCACTAGCCTCTTCAACATCAGAAGTGGCTGGCACTCCCATGCCCGCTCCATCAAACGCCCCGGCTGAAGTATCCCCATCAGCATCCCTCCAGGTCCCGCCTGTAGTGATTGTAACATCGTACACTACAATCATGCCGACAGCCACACCACAGCCAAGTGGAGCACCCGAGATACCCGTTTCTTCCGCTGTACCAGAGCCAGTCATATCAAGCTCAGCAGCCTTGTCTTCTACGCTCGCAGCTTCATCTTCTGAAGTAGCAATGCCGACACCCAGTGAACCTGCACCGTCATCTTTGACATCGGAGATTTCTGCGCCTACTCCCACGCTATCGTCTTCCGCTGCACCAAGCATGCCACCCGCCTCTGAAAGCTCAGCACAACCCACATCAGCTCCCTCATCCATGGCACCACCTCTAGAGTCTTCAGCACAACCTTCTTCATCTTCAATCGCGCCACCCCCAGCGGTCTCCGCATCCGCAACGGCATCTACATCCGACGCCGTGCCAACACCACCAGCACCAGCACCCACAGATATGCCATCATCGGGACCACCACAACCAGAACCAGTACCTTCGTCAACGACATCAGAAGGCCCGCTGATCATCACGCCGATACCACCGAGTCAGGTATTCACTGTGACGGTCACTGCGTCGCCGACTGGGCAGGAGACGGTTACGGAGACAGCTACGGTTACTGTGACGGCTTGAGGAGTGGGGGATGGAGATGGGAAGTGTGAAAAGTTCCCTTTTGTTTCAAAGTGTAGTGGTTGTTTGCACTGGACTGCATGTAAGGGGGAGGAAGTAGTTTTAATTTGATACCCAAGATTTGAGAATTGTATTTGTTTTACATGAACCATTTGATTCAGAACCGTGATCGTGAAGGCAATCTTGAGAAGACGAATGAAACGTCCGAAAGCATGAAGATAGCTTGCCTACTGGCTGCGATGAAGTGCAATATCCAATTTCAAGCTAGCTGGAGATCATTTGCACATAGGATGCAAAGTACACTCCTACAAATCTCGCCTTCACATCTTCAACACTTGGAGTAGATGAGTTTACACTTAATACCCACTCTGCTCCTTCCTGCCACCGCCCTCAGCCCCACCCTCCGCATCATCATCCCTGTTCGCCTTCGCATCGCCAGCAGCTTCCTGAATACCCTGCGCATCACCCCTCAGCTTCTCAAAATACGCCTTGACATCTTCCGCACCAACAGCCTGACCCGACTCAGCGAACGGCTTCAAGAACGCCGAGACCTTGTCTTTGAGATGCGCATACGCCATCGCACCCTGAATAGCACGCACGCGGTCCATGTTGTTGAAGGCTGCTTCGCCACGGTCGAGGATACTGCCTGTGCCGACGGACTGGCCACCTTCTTCGCCGTCTTCGGAGACGGGGGGCTCGTAGGTGTCTTCCTCTTCGAGGAGTTGCGGGTGGGCTTTTAGGTGTGGGTAGCAGGCGTCGCAGTGGCAGAGGTGGTCGCGGAAGTCGGGCTTGAGGAAGAGGGAGAAGGGCGTTGTGAGTGCGGTTGTGGGAAGAGGGGGAAGGGAAGCGTGCTTTGGGGCTTCGGATGCTTCAGGCTTCTTGGTGGTTATGGGCAGCGTCGTTGTGTCTTCGGGGATGCTGGAGAGTGTGCCGCTTGGATCTTCGGACTTTTGGCGCTTAGCCGGAGCTGGAGCTGTCAAATGGGATGTTGTCTGCTGCTCTTCGTCTTCGTCGGAAGCTTTGCGTTTCTTAGAGTCCCCGTTGCTGTCCTCTGGGGCTGAGACGGCGGATTTCTGCGCATGAGAAAGCGCTATGGCTTTGTCGTGGTAGACTGGTGCGAGGAACCCAGTTGAGCCAGCGTACTGTTTAATCCATGGATTGGCTTCGATGCACTTGTAGCAGAGGAAGTGATCAAAGTCGTCTTCCTCAGGGAAGCCTGGAGGCAGTGGCGGATCATCATCCTCTTCTGCGCCGGCATCTGCTGCAATGTCATTGCCATCAACCCCATTGCCATTCGTCACTGCAGCTGCAATGTCCGCTGAGAGTGATGCCGTATTCTCGTCTGCATGTCCGTTGGTCTTGGTGTCATCTGCCGCAGGTTTGTCGGTCTTCATCGCATCTACTTTGTCATGCTTCTCTTCCTCCTTGGGCTTTTCAATCATCTTGCTGTACTCCGCCCGAGTGAAGCCTACGAGGCATTCAGGGTGCCACCAGTCTTCACCACAGCCGCCCTCCTCGCAAGTCCCAAGCCCGAGACATTGGAACATGGTGCCCTTCTCTTGTTGAGGATCATAGTCCTCGCCGCAGCCACAGAATTTGTTCCTGAAGTTCTGGCTGTACTTGTTCGTCGTGGCTGGCTCTTCGCCCGTCACATCGCCTTTACGTCCAGTTTCTGCGTTGAGACGAAGCGTGCATGGCGTCATATCCGGTATCCTGGTAGTTCCACAGTCGCATATGAAGTTGCGCTTGTTGAAAAGCTCAACAAGGGTGTGTTCGCCATGGCAGGAGATGGAGCATGAGTAGCAGACGCCTGCTGGAGTGTATTGCTGGGCAGACGATGCGGGCGCGGGGTTGCAGGTGAGGCATGCGTAAAGGCTCTGTCGCAGAGGGCCGAGGTCGCGTGTGCAGGTATCGAATTGCTGTTTCTTGTCAGTCGAGGCGCATTCGGAGGATGTGGGTACTGACGTAGGGGAGAGCCTCGCGTGCTTCTGCCTCGAGGCTAAGTTGCTCTTTGATAAAGCTAACGGAATTGATTTAGTCTCCATACAGACAAGAGCATGGAAGACACGTACTCAGCCGCTGTTTGTGAGCTCTCCGATGCTTGCGATATGCTGCTGGTGCGCGGCTTCTTGGACATGGTCGTTGACTGGGAATCCGCCATGATTGCGATAACGCGCAACCACTTAATTCGAGATGGAAAGCAATTCGATGTAGAGCACAAGACCAAAATTCGTCAGAATGCGAGATACTAGCAGAGTAAATTCGGTCGTGGAAGTGCGTGGGAAACTTTGGTGTGAGCAGTGAGGAAGGCGCTGGATGCGCCTGATCGCTGATTGGCTACCGCATCACCACTTTACGCGTGGAAAAGGAAAGCGCGACGCGGTCGTGTCGCTGGCCTTACTACCCCTTCTCCCGCACCCTCAACCCCGCTTCGCAGCCCCATATCACTTTACTTTATCCCGGTGATACCAGTAAAGAACCGTGCTTTAAGTGAACATGAGGTATGTGTCTCAGAGTTCGACGAGACTCGTAGGCCGAGCAACGACGAGCCCCTCTTTACCACAACAACAAGATATTGACGAACACTAGTTCACCACCACCACCCCTTCGCTCCAACATGTCGTCCGCAAACCGTGGCGTAGGCCCTAGCAGCAGGAGCAACAAACGCGCAAGGGACGATGACGATCTCCCCTCCTCAGCGGCGCATCCGCCGTCCAGCCGTGAGTGCCACAAAAACATGCGACACAACAATGGCTAATCAAGTACAGCAATGGCCTCGTCACCACCTATGCTCCCACAAGACGACGATGCAGACATGCTCGACGATGACGACATCATTCGCGACGTAGACGATCTGGACGAAGACGCAGAAGAGGCGGAAGGAATTGATTTGTTCGCCGACGACTTCGAGAACGACTACGGAGCCCGAGAGAACGATGCCTATGAAGGCCAGGGCATCGATGACGAAGGAGACTATGAAGAACTAAGTCTCGCGCAAAGGCGAGAGCTTGATGCGCGACTTAATGCCCGCGACAGGGAGGCTAGACGTCGCATGCCCGCTGCTTTCCTGCCAGACGAAGACGAAACGGATGGCCTGGCAGGTCTGATGGGACGTCGTCGTGTTCGGAGGAATCGATATGACGAAGAAGACGACATGGACATGGACAACGATATCATGAACGAGGAATTGACGCTTGAGGCCCTCACCGATGTGAAGGCCAACACCCTGACAGATTGGGTGGCCCAACCTCAAGTCGCCAGGACCATCGCGCGCGAGTTCAAGTCTTTCCTGACAGAATACACCGACGAACACGGTCACTCAGTATACGGAGCCCGCATCCGAACCTTGGGAGAGGTCAACGCTGAGTCCTTGGAAGTCTCATTCGACCACCTTGCCGAGCAAAAGGCTACCTTGGCATACTGGCTGGCCAACACGCCCACTGAGATGTTGAAGATCTTCGACCAGGTGGCCATGGAAGTCGCTCTCCTCCACTACCCAGACTACGAGCGTATCCACTCCGAGATCCACGTCCGTATCACCGACGTACCTGTTCAATATACACTCCGCCAGCTCCGTCAATCGCATCTCAACAGTCTGGTTCGTGTCAGTGGAGTCGTCACCCGCCGAAGCGGAGTCTTCCCTCAACTCAAATACGTCAAGTTTGACTGTACCAAGTGCGGCGTCACTCTGGGTCCCTTCCACCAAGATTCAAACGTTGAGGTCAAGATCTCTTTCTGCCAGAACTGCCAATCACGCGGTCCTTTCACCGTGAACTCCGAGCGGACAGTCTACCGAAACTACCAAAAGCTCACTCTACAAGAGTCTCCAGGCACTGTACCGGCAGGACGCTTGCCCCGTCATCGGGAGGTTATCCTTCTTTGGGACTTGATCGACTCGGCAAAGCCTGGTGAGGAGATTGAAGTCACCGGCATTTACCGTAACAACTACGATGCGGCTTTGAACAACAAGAACGGTTTCCCAGTCTTTGCAACTATCTTGGAGGCCAACTACGTTGTCAAGTCTCACGACCAGCTGGCTGGCTTCCGGTTGACCGAAGACGATGAGAAGGAGATTCGACGACTGTCCAAGGATCCTCGCATTGTGGACAAAGTCATCAACTCGATCGCCCCAAGCATCTACGGACACACTGACATCAAGACTGCTGTAGCACTCTCTCTGTTTGGCGGTGTCAGCAAAGAAGCTCCTGGTCGTCACTCGATCCGTGGTGACATCAACGTCTTGTTGCTTGGAGATCCCGGTACTGCCAAGTCTCAGATTCTGAAGTATGTCGAAAAGACCGCCCATCGTGCTGTCTTCGCCACTGGTCAGGGTGCTTCCGCGGTCGGTCTTACTGCTTCCGTCCGTCGTGATCCCATGACTAGCGAGTGGACGCTTGAGGGTGGTGCGCTTGTGCTTGCCGATAAGGGTACCTGTTTGATCGACGAGTTCGATAAGATGAATGACCAGGACAGAACATCCATTCACGAGGCCATGGAGCAACAGACTATCTCCATCTCCAAGGCTGGTATCGTCACAACCCTTCAAGCTCGCTGTTCCATCGTAGCAGCTGCCAACCCCATTGGTGGTCGATACAACTCAACAATTCCTTTCTCGCAGAACGTAGAGCTCACCGAGCCTATCCTGTCTCGATTTGACATTCTGTGTGTCGTACGCGACACTGTTGACCCAGCAGAAGATGAACGTCTGGCCAAATTCGTTGTGAACTCTCACGGCCGTGCTCACCCACTTGTCAACTCAGCATACGGATATTCTGACAAGGCAAAGGCGACACAGAACGGCGACGACCAAATGGAAGTCGACGGTGACGCACCAATCAAGGAGGGTGAGATTCCACAAGATCTGTTGAGGAAGTACATTCTTTACGCGAGGGAGAAGTGCAGACCCAAGCTTTACCAGATTGAGCAAGATAAGATTGCCCGTCTATTCGCAGACATGCGCAGAGAGTCTATGGCAACTGGAGCCTATCCTATCACCGTAAGTTCACACCATTGCGTCAGTAAATTATTCACTCACAACTACAGGTTCGCCATCTCGAAGCTATCCTACGTATTGCAGAGTCTTTCTGTAAGATGCGTCTCTCCGACTACGTGGCGTCGGTAGACATTGATCGCGCCATTGCGGTTGCAGTTGACTCCTTTGTTGGATCACAGAAGGTCAGCGCAAAGAAGGCGTTGGCAAGGGCTTTCGCCAAGTATACTTTAAACAGGCCCGGCGCTGTTAGTGCACCGACCCGAGGAGGGCGGGCGCAAAGAGCAGCAGCATGATCAAGGTCTCAATATGTTGAACATGCACTATGACGAAGGCCTATAAGAGGTGCGAATGAGAGGAGTTTGTGGCACGCGTCTTGATTAACGGCGCCTGAAGATGCAATGATACCATGTTGGAAAGCGTTGTTTATCTGCAGACATCTGTCTACATGTACTGGGTGCTAGGAGTTGACAGTAAAGATTATAAATTAGATAGGATATCTACACAATGCCTTATTACAACTTCACATGCCCAATGCAAAAGATGGGACGCGCAGTAAAGTGAGCAAGGACAGCCTTAGATGCGAAGTTTGTCGCAGTCATGATATTGTCACTCACATCAAGCATTGTCTCAAAGGTTTTTTGAATATCAACAGCTGATTGTTAAACTTAAGTTTTCCACAAGTTATGAAGATGGGGTGTTCATGTATACAACCAAAGTACGCGAAAAGACCCCTCGGGCTCGAGCGCGAAAGACAGAGAAGATGGGGTGTTCAGTGCTGGCATTATGGGGCGGCTGAGTCACTAGCGTTGAACAACTCTTGGCGCACAAAGCATTTTGCGTCGCGCTACCACCCCAATTCTCTTTCGACAACACTCACGACCGGAGCTCAACAACCCTTTAGGAATACCACATTCGACTTCCTACGAGCAACGATGGCCCCCAAGAAGAACAAGAGAACCGCCGACTCCATCAACTCGCGCCTGGCGCTTGTGATGAAGTCCGGTAAGGTCACCCTCGGCTACAAGTCTACCCTCAAGAGCCTGCGCACTGGAAAGGCCAAGCTCGTCATCATTGCCGGAAACACCCCTCCTCTGAGGAAGTCTGAGCTCGAGTGTAAGTATATTCTTCTCTGGGATCCATGCGCAATCGCTAATTCTTCCTAGACTACGCCATGTTGTCCAAGACCTCCGTCCACCACTTCTCCGGCAACAACGTACGTACCGCACCCCGTCCGCTCTCATTGCCTAACGACAAGATACCCTGAGCGCTACGAGACTCGTTACTCTCCAGTTCCTAGCTGTGGTAGAATATACACAAGAACGCGACGATAACGAGCTCCTGCGCGCTGGGTATACTTCGAGGGCTGGCTCTGAGAAGAGGTCTGAACATGGCTTCGGAGAGCAATCAGCTAATACCAGTCTAGATTGAGTTGGGCACTGCTTGCGGTAAGCTCTTCCGCTGCTCCGTCATGTCTATCCTCGATGCCGGTATGTATCTCCCTTTATGGCTGCACTATGATATCCGCTAACAGATTGACAGGTGACTCCGACATCCTGTCCCAGAACACCGAGAACTAGAGTGTTATGACAAATGGAAGGGGCGCAGTTAGACATGATACCTAGGCATGGCGAAAGCTATGTCCTCGATGATATCCAATGAATGCAAGATTTCATGAGCTATCCTGACGGTCCACATTTGCACATGTGACGTGACTCACTCGTGCATGCTTGCACGTCCTTCTGTTGCACTAGTGCTTACAGAACAAACTGTCGCAAGATCATCATGCGCCAGTCTCGAGTGCGCAGCTCTGAGTATACCACGTCTTGAGGGTATACGACGAGGTTTGCATTGGTGCTATACAAGAGATAACAATGTATTCTGTTAGGGCAGACTTCTAATGCTCAATATAAATTACGCAGACAAACATCTCTATGCAATGCATTCAAAAGCACGCAAGAGATCTTAGCTCCTTGACCTACTGCTAGACTATATCTTGGGTTTCGGGTTGGGCGCAACTTGCTGAAACATGCTTCTTTGAATCGGCTATGCAAGGTCGCTCGGTATTTCTGATTTGTAATGCACACAAACAGATACCATGAGGACGTACAGAATGTCGGGTTGTGTAGAGGTAAAGATAAAACTACGAAATACACTATAGAAACTACCAAAAAGAACGAGTGCCTTGATAATATTGCTGCGCGCATCCCCAGAGTTGCACTTTCGCTGTCTCGGGAAACGGCGTGGCGGGTGCTTTGAAATCGGATGGGGCGCTAGCTTACTCAGGTCGTAGCGTTCGTGTGGGCAAATATTCGCTTAGCAATCCGGCGACGACTTCCCTCGACGCCTCTGACACTCACCTCCTACTAACACCATAAATACAGGGTAAGGTACGTACGGCTGTCGCATTTCTCTCCGCTGGAAGACGTCTTACTGACAGCTGCACCAGTTTGCGCTCGCCCTCATTCTCCGCGCCTCCTGGACACCCGCTCATTGATTTCAAAGCAGGAACAACCGTCACAATGGCTCGCCGTCCCGCCCGTTGCTACCGCTACTGCAAGAACAAGCCCGTACGTCACGATGGAGATACCGCGAGAGGAGGATAACAGGCTGACTGGGCCGTAGTACCCCAAGAGCAGGTTCAACCGTGGTGTTCCCGATGCCAAGATCCGCATCTTCGACCTTGGTCGCAAGAAGGCCAATGTAGACGACTTCCCTCTCTGCATCCACTTGGTCTCCAACGAGTACGAGCAGCTGTCCTCTGAGGCGCTCGAGGCCGCCCGTATTTGCGCCAACAAGTACTTCGTCAAGAACGGTGGAAAGGAATCCTTCCATCTCCGTGTCCGCGTCCACCCCTACCACGTCGTCCGTATCAACAAGATGTTGTCGTGCGCTGGTGCCGATAGATTGCAGACGGGTATGCGTGGCGCTTTCGGCAAGCCCAACGGTCTTGTCGCTCGTGTCAACATTGGCCAGATTCTCATGTCCGTCCGGACAAGGGACTCTAACCGCGCCGTCGCCCTTGAGGCTCTCAGGCGTTGCCAGTACAAGGTATGTTTTGGAATGACGTCAGAGATGATATGTGCTAATTAGTTGTTAGTTCCCCGGTCGCCAGAAGATCATTGTCTCCAAGAACTGGGGTTTCACTCCTCTCAAGCGCCAGGAGTACATTGACCTCCGCCAAGAGGGCAAGGTCAAGATCGACGGTGCCTACGTCCAGTTCCTCCGCAACAAGGGCAACCTCGCCAACAACATCCGTCGCTTCCCTGAGGCTTTCGAGTCCTCTGCTTAGGTTTTGGATTGAGGGATGAGTTGTGTGCATGACATCATGGGTCCAATGGGAATTCGGTTACGGCGTGATTTGCTTTCTTCATCAGTCAGGATGAAGGCTGGAGGGTGAACATCTGCGGCGTGTAACTGTAGAGAACGACCAGACACAGCCGGACAATGACAAATGATACAACAACGCGGTGCCCCCATGATTGTATTTGTGTGTTGTAGATGTATGACTATGGATTGCATCTGTCACTCATTCGTCGGGATGTTCCTGATGAGCTAAGATGGTTATCGTCCGAGAAGTCACGGTACTTCACGACGTTTGTTTGTTGCTCGAATGATTGCTATTGATCTCTACTAGTAATGGTCCGATGCTAAAAGTGGTATAAGTTCCCAACCCAGACACTCCAATCAAGAACGCCTGCCTATTCCCATATAACCAAAGGCAAATGCAATATGAACGTGTAGTTCAAACACCAACACCAGCGCCTCGGCCTTCAGCCTGCGCACGAGAAAACTGCTGCAAGAGCTGCAGTACACCTCCGCGATTGTTGCCCGGTGCTTCCTCCTCGTCATCGTCATCTTGTGCAAGTCGACTCGTTCGCCACGAATCACCCAGTGTACTCTCCTCCTCAATACGTGTATTCGATGGGCCAGGTGCGTCCGGCACAGCTTGCAACGGCGTCCGATACCTACTGTTCGGTGCCTGACGTGGCGAGCCGCGGAGTATAGACGCAGAAGAAGGCTGGTGGTGAGGATCCAGAAGAACAGAGTTCATGGGTTCGTCCCTAGCACCCGTTCTATGTCTCGGTGTCCTCTGCTGGAGATTCTGGCGGCCAGTCGGGCCTCTGCTCGTTCCTCTGACACCCATTTCAACGGGCTGAGCAGTCTGCGACATGGAACCGAAGGTATTGGGGAACTGTGGCGGAGGGTGGAACTGGCTTCTGCCTTGGAGACGACCGTTGTAGCCACGTCCCGGGTTCTGGTATGTGTCCAGGAAGCCGTAGTAGGATGCCATCATCTTGTTGTCCTTGGCCATGAAGTAGTCTTCCCGGAGGTCAGGATCTTCTCTCGGGGCAGCAGCTCCGTTTGCCGGAATGTTGTTGGCGTTGCGAGTGGTCTTTGTAGAGGGGAACATGGAGTACGAGCATGTCACGCCTAGGCCGTCGACTACAATCGAGAACTCGCGGAAGAAGTCGACAATACGCTCGCTGCAGGCTGGTAACCTGAACATGAGCAGGAAAGGTGTGATGATCATGCTGAGTATCTCTTCGGCGAAGATGACAATCTTGGGCTGGTACAGTTGAGCGAACTCGGCGCGAACTTCGTCGGTGTGTAGCCTATCACGCCACGACTCGGGCTCATAGCGCGTGTGGTAGATGACATGTTGGAGGTAGTAGGATGGATCTGCGACCTGGTCGTCTTGAGGGCTGCTTCCACGTGCGACACGGTAAATCGTACTGAGAATACCGATCCAGAAGATAGCTGTTTTGCCCGGTGTGATTTCAAAGTTGAGGAAGAGCTCCGAATCCATAAGAGTGAACACCACAAGGACGAATGCGAAGGCGCCAGCAATAAATGCGACAAATGATGAGACCTGCTCGGTCTTGTCTTTAGGGAACTGGGCAAGGTAGAGGTTTGCGTACGGATAAGCCATGTTACGGCGGCGGGCGAAGTAGTGAGGCAACTCGTTGAACTCACGGAACTTCCACTGAGCGAAAGTAGTGAAGTCGCGGTTACTGAGTTGGCCTGGGTCCTTGTGGTATTCGGTGAAGTATTTGAACATGTACGAAGCAAGCACGAACACCACAGCGAAAGGTGCGCAGAGGATACTGATGATGCCAGTCCAGAAGAAGCGAGTTTTCAGCCTCTTTACGAGCTCTCGGCGGTTGCGCTCCTTTAGGAAGTCAGGGTTGAACTGGCCGTTCGGTCCACTGAAGACGAAGTCCATGATGGCGAGATTGACGTGCCATCTCGTGGTCTCCGAGAAGATGTATCGATTGCCAAGGAAGGGAAGCGGAACGGTGACATCCAATATCTCCTTGTTGAAGAGGGCGATCAGATAGTTGTCACGACGCATCAGGCGACCCGCGATGTCGATAGCATCTAGTCGCTGCCTGCTCTTCGAATCGAGTAACTTGCGCGTCTGCGGAGACAGGTTCGAGGCGGTGGTCAAGTTCAAGTCCCGCAAAGCCATGATGCGCGTCACCACCTGCTGCCACTGTATGGTTTGTATGTCGCGGTCGGGGATATCGAGCAAGTAGTGGTAGAAGTCGTGCGTGGCTCGGAGCCGGGGTATATCGGTAAAGAGGTTGTAGAACGTGTAGAGCCAATAGATGATGAAGACCCAGAGGCCGAATATCCAAATTCCATGGATCCTATATCATGTCAGCTGGGAAGTGATTCCGTCATACGCATTTACTGACTTGGCTGCACACTTTGGCACCAAGACCTGCTCCAGCTTGTTGCTCTTTGGCAGCTTGGAATAGTCGATGCAGAAGCCAAGGAACGTCATGAACCCGACTACGAAAGCGCTCCGAGCGAGCGTCAAAACCCGGGCCAGGAGGATGGAGTATATTCCGCAGCCGACAAAGTAGTCATAGACCTCGGTCATGTAGTTGTCGAGGTCCATCTGATTCACCCACAGCCACAAGGCCTTCTCCTTGCGGTCGGCGGCGAAATGCCCAGGTCTACTGGTATGTCCCCACGGCCGCGAAGATGTGCCGTTTCCATCCTCGTTGTGCAGCCGCTGCTGGTTCCGTGTAGCATCCCATTGCGCCCGTGTTTGTCGTGTGGCTGGGCCAGGTACTGGCATAGGAAGGCCTTCGCCGCGCTGAGTCGAACTTGGCCCCGGCTCATGTCCTCCTTCAAGAAGTAACGACTGTGGGACGTCGTCATCGTCGTCCAAGGGCGCGGTGCGGGATGGCGCGGGTTGCCTCCAAGCCGGCATGCGACTCGCTGTATTGATGCCGGGTGGTGCGTTGCGTTTGGCCTCCGGGGAGACAGCGCGGCTCTCGGTCGTCATCTGACTTGAGGATGCCTCTTCGAGCAGATGTGCGAGGTCTTGCTCCTCAAAGCGAGCCTCAAAGTTCTCCTCGTCGATGTCCATCTCGTGTCGCTCGTCGGTCGAGGTGGAGCTGCGGCGGTCGCGGGCAGCAAGAGGTTCGCGTTCGTATGTTTCGTCCGATGCAGAGGGAAGAAGCTTGGAAAGTAGGTTAGACGCCATCATGGTCGGACAGTGGTGGTGCGCTCAGGCAACGGCGGGGCGCGTGGCCGTGCTGCGCTGGGTTGAGGGCGTTTGGAGGCTGCAAGAGTGGTCAGAGGACCGAAGGCGTGATCCCAAAAGTCAAGACGAGCCTCCATGAGCACTGACGTAATCCTAGTCAGTGACCATACCAGCGTGATAGAGGGTAGGATGAGTGATGGTCGCGGTTATCGCTGAAGCACATGGCATGCATGCAGGTGACGCGACCGATATCGATAAGGCTCGGCTGCACTTGCCGCTCGTCTGCCCGATATGACACCTTTCGGGGCCCAAGTCACAACACCCATCCAGTCATGTCGGTGAGCTACTTCCAGGAGCGAGCAACTCCCGCTTCTCAGAATGGTACTTCTCCGTCCTCTCCGTCGGTAGCGCCTGCATCGCGAGGCACAAATGCCCTCTCGAGCAGGATCACCAGCGTGCTCTCTGCATCATACGCCGACTTGGAAATCCGCGATGCCTTGGAAACTCTGGATGCGCGTGGCGTGCAGAACACCGCCGAAACACGACGGCAGTTGCGTTTAGATGTGCAGAAGGATGTCATCGAGTGCAATGGCGAGATTATCAAGGACTTTGGCCAGGTTGCGGAAGTATGATAGAACACCAAGTATCAAGAACATCGGACTAATCTCCACTAGCAACTGAAACGTATCGGGACTGCTATCAGTAGCCTGAATACGTACTGCGCGGATATGCGCGGTCATATTGAAGCTGCCAACAGAGAAACTGGACCCGTCCTGGAGGAAGCCACAAGCCTCATAACCCAGAGGAAGCAGGTCGAATCTAAGCAGCAGATTCTGAACGCCTTCACCACTCACTTCCTCATATCGGAAGAAGACGCCACTATCCTGACCTCCACTGCTGAGCCTGTCAATGAGGAGTTTTTCCAGGTCTTGACCCGCGTAAAGAAGATACATCACGATTGTCAAGTCCTGCTCGGGACCGAGGACCAGCGGTTGGGCCTGGAAGTGCTGGAGCAGAGCTCCAAGCAACTCAATTCAGCCTTCCAAAAACTGTATCGGTGGATCCAACGCGAGTTCAAGACACTGGATCTAGAGAACCCACAGATCAGTGCTTCTGTGCGCCGGTCTCTGCGCGTGCTGGCTGAACGTCCAACTTTGTTCCAAAGCTGCCTAGACTCGTTTGCCGAGGCACGAGAAGCCATTTTATCTGATTCATTCCACGCTGCGTTGACCGGATCGACATCGGAAGAGCACATAGCCACCAAACCGATCGAGTTTCATGCCCACGACCCACTCCGCTATGTTGGAGATATGCTCGCGTGGGCACACTCCACGACAGTATCCGAGAGGGAGGCGCTCGAGAACCTGTTCATCTCAGACGGCGATGAGATCAAACGTTCTATCCAAGCAGGTCTTGAAAGTGAGCCGTGGCTGAGAGGCGATGAGGATGCAGAAGTCTTCGACGGACGGAAAGCCCTAAATCAGCTCGTCAGCCGCGATCTCACGGGTGTGGCGCGTCTTTTGAGGCAGCGGACCGAACAGGTTGTCCAGAGTCACGACGATGCAACCCTTGCTTACAAGATCGCAAACTTGATTGGTTTCTATAAAGGAACCTTTGCCAAGCTACTTGGAGCAGATTCCGATGTCTTGGATGTGTTTGATACACTAGAGGCTTCTGCGATGCGACAGTTCCGTGCTAATATGAGAGATTACGTCGCCAATGTCCAGAGCGACCTCGCTGTTGCGCCAGCCGATCTGTCCGCCCCCGAATTCCTGGAGGATGCACTCCAAATGCTTCGAGTACTTGCGAAAAGCTACGATACTTCATTTGCCGCAACGGATGACAACGGGCAAGGATTCCAGACTGTACTTGCGGAATCTCTGGATCCATTCTTGAATGGTTGCGAGAACCTGCAAAAAGGAATGAAACTGCCTGATAGCGCCATCTTCGCCATCAACTGCCTCTTTGCGGCTAAAGAGGTCCTCTCTCAGTATACCTTCGCTAGCGAGCGGGTCAGCGACATCGACGATACAATCGATGAGCATGTTGCGAAGTTGACAGACTATCAACACCAGTACTTGGTCCATGAATCTGGTCTCATCACCCTCATCAAAGCGCTTGAAGGAATTACCGACTCGCCAGAAAGTCTCAAGACCATTCCTGATTTGGATGCGTTCAAGCCGGACGCACTCGTGGCAGCCAGTCAGCAACTCGACGAGTTCTTGCCGTCTGCTATCATTGATGCATCGGAAAACATCAAGCGGCTGCGCAACAGAAAGATGATACAGGACATCACGGAAGAAGCAGCCGGCAAGTTCTGTGAGGACTTTGAGGTTGTCGAGGCCAAGATGATGGCTGCTGATGATCTGACATACGACGAAGACAAGGAAGACGAGGACCAGGAACCCGGTTTGAGGGATATGTTTCCCCGTACCAGTGGTGAGATACGGGTGCTGCTCAGCTAAAGGGCCTGATGTGGCGAGTATGTACAAGCCGGTAGATGTTGTCATCAAAAACCACCTCATTTACGCATCATATCCATCAGTCGTGACTCGTGATGCGTAGACTCAAAGTCCTAACCTCTTAAGCATCCTATTTGCTACCACACGTTGGTGTGACCACTCTTTACTGCGGCTTCTTCTTCTCCCACTCTTCTGGCGTATGGCATTTAGGGGTCCATGCATGTATCGCGGCAATCTCCTCTTTCAATGTCGAGTTAACTAGCCGGTGTCGTGCTAGAGTAGTCTTCTTGGCGAACTGTGGTGATACGATGATAGCCTCGTACATTTGCCCGCATCCACCTAGTATGCGACATTAATTCATGCTCGTGACTCCAATTCCCGAACCTAGCGCTTTTCCAGCCCAAGAACGCGCTCGTGAGACGATCACTCTCCATCTGGAACCACTGTTCTGCGAGAAATAACAAAATATTACGTACCGCTCAGGTCTTCAATCTCGACATAAGTTGCGCCCAAACCCTCCTTCAACTTCCTCTCCAGTCCCTCCATAGTAACGCCAGAAGTAGCCTGCACGGTCGCCGCTTCCTCGTCTGTTCTTGCACTCATGTCGGGTTTGGCGTCTGGTGCGATGGCAAGATTGTCAAGAGTTTTGTAAAGTTTGTGTCGCGGATCCATAAGGCGATGATGTGATATTGACCTTTGGTGTTCCTATCTTCGGATCTGATAAGATGCGGTTGCCGAATGGGGAAAGACCGGGCGGGACTTTGGGAGGGGAGGGGCTATGACGCATCACTGCAGGGGTGGGCAGCGCGTTGGATCGGCATTGCTGCACGCGTGGGTTTTGCTCTGCATTGTGAACCCAAGAGCTGCATGTTCATATCGACGGCCCGACGATTCGCTATGACTACTTCGGCGCCTTTCTCGAGGGCGGTGGTGAGGGCGATGCAGAAGCTGTAAGTTCCCTGGGAATGCGTCGGACTATGCTCGATGCACCGCGCTATGTGTTTTCAGGTATTGACAAACGTGAAGGTATCCGAAGGAGCTTGCCGACAACTCCTGGGATAACACCGGACTGCTGCTTGAGGCGCCGTTCGATCCGTCGCGTCGCCAGTCCAACACCGCCCTCCTTACCATCGACCTTACCAAAGCCGTCGCGGACGAAGCTATTGCGCTCAACTCCTCAATCGTCATCGCATACCACCCCATCATATTCCGAGGCTTGAAGTCGTTGACTCTCGCCGACACGCAGCAACAATCGTTACTACGCCTTGCTAGCCATGGCATCAGTGTGTACTGCCCACATACCGCGCTCGACGCAGCTCCGGGAGGACTTGGAGATTGGCTTGCGGACATCGTAACAGGCACGAAGACAATTTACAATGGCTCAGAAGAATATGCAGAATCGGAGCCTGCAAGCAATACAAAGGAAGACGACGAGGACCCCTTCGTCGAAAAGAAGAAGCGCCCAACTTTCATGCTGCAACACCACCCTAGCCAGCCCCTACTGCACTTCGGCAAGCACCCTACGCCCGCCAAAATCCCGCTCACTGCCCCTCATAAGCGCGAAACGATCAAACCCCAATCGCCAGCACTGGCATCACACCCCGGAGCTGGCATGGGCCGCATCGTAAAGTTCGATCACCCACAACCGCTCCCCACACTCCTCGATCGCATAGGCAAGGGACTCAACAACCCTAAAGGCTTCCCAATCGCGATACCCCAGGAGAAGGCAATCGCAGACATAGAGATACGTAGCGTAGGCATCTGCGCAGGCTCAGGCTCAGGTCTGCTGAACGGTCTAGACGTGGATCTACTGTTCACAGGCGAGATGGACCATCATTCGGCCCTTGCAGCGATTGAGAACGGAAGAGCTGTCATCAGTTTATTCCATAGCAATTCTGAGCGCGGCTTCCTAGCAGAAGTTTTGCTTTGGCAATTGGAAGAGGCGGTGCAAGAAGAGTGGGGTAAGATTAGAGAGGAGGAGAAGGACAACGAGGCGCTGCAGGAGGCATTGGCAGATGATGACTTCGAGATTGCTGTCAGTGAAGTTGATCGCGATCCTTATGGCATCGTAGTGTTGAAGGGCGATGCAGAGGAGGCGGCGTAGCAACAGCACGTAGAAAGTGGATGAATCGAAGATCATAACGATGAGACAGACTACACGAGGTTTGGTGGGGTCACAGAGGTTTACCCCACATCATCACCCGCACAACGCCGACACATTCGACCGTAACTTATCTGCACGCCGCGTTTCTCGAAAGCTGAATTGGAGTATATAATTGATGAAAGTTCCAATTTCTCAACTCACAACCGGAGCGCCTTCAGCGCTATCCGCTCAACATAATCCTCTGTGGCGCAATTGGCTAGCGCGTCTGACTGTTACATCTGTGGCTATCAGGAGGTTGGAAGTTCGAGCCTTCCCGGAGGAGGATTAGTTTTTTTGCTCATCTAGCTACTTCGCTGCTTCCTATCATCTGCTGTGGCATCTTGACTCTTTTTGCAAGTCTTCGTTGTCTGGCTGAGAAAAATGTACGATCCCCGGCATAAGAGAGTGTAGCTCGACTACACTGCGGTACAACATGTACCCATTCAATGTCTATTACACTTTCAATAATCATCTCCGACAAGATAGTCAACCTCCCCTCAACGAGCTATGCAGTCTTAATTGCACGTAACCAAGCGAGATTAACACCGCGCATCCACGCGTACAATAACACACTGCTTCGACATGGTATCGTATAAGCCAAACTCGCTCACCGTCCTCAAGCATATCTCCTCCAACCTAGCCTTCACTACAACCATGCCTCCTTGATCCAGTTGATTCCTCATGCCAACTTCTGGATTCCCGCCCGGTGAGCGCATCTCCGGCCCCAACGACGGCATGACCCTACTCAAAAGCCCTCTAACCCCCTGCCTCTGCACAGCACTCTCCACGCCTCTCCCCTCTCCCCTCGGACTCCTCAACACCGGATTCGCGTTCAAATTCTCACTTAACAGACGCTCCAACTCCACAATCACAACCTGTGGTCTCCAAAACTCTGTGCGGTTCATCTGGCCCTCTAACCGCACGACTTTCGGTTCGTCTTCGGACGAGAAGCCGACTACCTCTACGGGTTTGGTGTCGGCTGTGTCGAAGCTGAATTCTGACTTCTCTTCGACTGCGGGTAGGGGGATGTCGGAGGGGAGCATGGCGATGGTTGTTTGGGCGATGCCGTATGTGACGCGTTCTTCGATGAGGGGGATGATGTGTCTTTCGATTACGGATTGGATGTGGTGCGTGCGGGTTGTGCTTAGTTGATTGAGGATAGTGGTGCCGCGTGAGGAGGTCGAGGTGTTGTACTCTGAGTACGGTGGTGGAGAGGCTTGTTTCTCGTTTCGTGACATTGTTGTGGTGTTGACTAAACTTGAGACGTGTGGTTGTTCAATGTTTTGGTATGTCTAGAGCGAAAGTATGGATGTGTCGGCATGGGGATTCCGGGCGTTGCTGCAGCAAGTCGTGGACTGTGGTCGGATACTTGCTCTCGTTACCGAACTTCTACGACTACCTAGGTACCTACTTTGCTGCAGTGGCGATAACTGGAACGGTCTTCACGGATATCGAACGGATCACGGCAGGCGCATACCGGAGTAGTTACAGTTTCTAGAAGCCTGTGACTCCGTGCTCATATGGCGCAGCTTTGACTAGTCCCAAATCGCATACACATCAGTCTCGTGATCGTACGAGCCATGGGAATAAGGGCGCAATGATGTATTGCCTGGCGTGGGTAAGCGAATTGTAAGCGTGTAGATGCTTCAGTCACGAGGTGTCCGGGCCGAGAGCCTTGGCGTTGGGTTTCTACTCTTGAGGGTGGTAAGATGTGTACGAACTTCAAAAAGTGAGTATGTACAAGGTGGAGGCTATGCGACACGGCGGGCGGACAGCTTGCGCAGTTTTCTGGTGGCCTGGAGATCGCCTTACCGGCCCTTCTCTTTGAGGGGGTTAAAACATAGTTGAACGGCGGCTGCGCACTTCGTAAAGCTGCCTATTCTGCTCACCGCGCGAGAACCATGTTTTTGAGAGATAAAGCGTTGCTTCAGGCCCAAGGCACATGGGGTGGCTGTGAGGCGCAAGGCACACTCCAGGCTGCGCCGCACTACTCCGTACTCAGACTAGTGATGTCGACCGTGCACAGCATGCAGTAATCTCCACCAACACCAGCACGAAGAGGCTCACCGAGAGTGTCACTCATGCCGGAGTTGCGGATGAAGAAACATCTTAGGAAAACTCTCGTGATGCATATAAGAGTAACCATGGTCGCCGTTAGCTCAGCCTCATACTGCGCATAATCCCTTGAAGCGCCCCAACTTTGGTTGATAACTCCTTGTCCTTGAGCACATTTCCACTCTTTGCATATAATCACCCATAAACCCACGCATTCCCGAATTCATACAACTTGAACGTCTTCAAGTAACACTGCATACCGGACCCAGACGCCTACAACCTCGACATTGTACATTACACTCCCAAAAACACCTCCTATACCTCAACCGTCAACATGTGGTACCACGTAGCCGAGCCCAATTCCTACCTCGTCATCACGGGTGTAGGAATTGAGAAGGTCTTGATTAAGAAGAAGGCCTTCGTATACCCTCTACAGAAGGTCTCCAAGATCTCCATCACACCTTTTGACTTCTCCATGGCCCTCCAGGCTATGACTATTGAGAAGCTTAAGTTTGCCCTACCAGCCGTATTCACCATCGGTCCCGCGGATAGCCCCGAAGCACTTGAGAAATATGCCGTGTTACTCACTGGCGAGAGTGACGGAAGCCCTACCCAAACGGCGGCCAAGGGAGTCGTCTCGGTTGCTGAAGGTCGCAACCATGTTCAAGAGATTGTTAAGGGTATTATTGAGGGCGAGACACGAAGCATTGTCTCTACTATGACTATGGAAGAGTTGTTCCGTGAGCGAAAGATTTTCAAGGATAAAGGTACGTCTGAACAGGATTCCTTGCGAAACATGTACTGACATTCGATAGTTATCCAGCAAGTTCAATCCGAGCTTGACCAGTTTGGTCTTTGCATCTACAATGCCAATGTGAAGGAGCTACAAGACACTCCTGGCTCGGAGTACTTCGCCTTTCTCTCTCGCAAGGCACACGAGGGCGCACTAAACCAAGCTAAGGTCGATGTTGCTCACGCTCGTATGCAAGGTGAGGTTGGAGAAGCAGAGAAGCAAGGAAAAACCAAGCAGGAAGTCGCCAAGATCCACGCCCAGACTGCCGTCCTCGAGACCGAGCGTAAAGCCGAGAAGGCTACAGCAGATGCCAAGTTCACCGACAAGGAAATTGAGATCGGTCGTGACCTCAACGTAGCTCGCATCAACGCCAAGCGCGAAGCCGAACGACGCGATGCCGAGCTTCAAATGGAGGTTGAGAAGAAGAGGGCACTCATGGAGCTTGAACGTCTCCGTGCTACCAAGGTCGTGCAGGCGAAGATTGAGAAAGAGAGTGCGCAGCAGCAGGCCGACGCAGAGCTGTACACCCAGGAGAAGTCCGCCGACGGACACAAGTACAGTCAGCAGGCTGAGGCTGAAGCTGATGCTTTCCGTAGCCTTCGTGCTGCTGAAGCTGACTTCGAGGCCACCAAGCGTCGCGCTGAAGCCGAGTACTTCGCCCAGGAACGCTCAGCTCAAGCCCACCTCATCACCCAGCAGCGCGAAGCTGAGGGTCTCTCTGCGATGGCCAAGGCATACGGCGACATGGCTAACGTCCTCGGCGGACCCCAGGGCCTCATGCAATACCTCATGATCACCAACGGAACCTACGAGAAGCTTGCGAATGCGAACGGCGCGGCCATCAAGGGCCTTCAGCCAAAGATCAACGTCTGGAACACCGGCAGCCAGGGAGGGGAGGGTATGGCGGACCCTTCAGCACCTATTCGCAACCTCTTCCAGAGCCTGCCTCCTCTGCTCAGCACTATCCATGACCAGACTGGTATGGCACCACCTAGCTGGCTGGCGCAGATGCCCCAGCAGAATGGCGACATGAACAAGATGCACTTGAGGAACGGCAGCGATGTGTCGCCATAGAAGGAGGACGATGGAATCGTGGATTGTTGCTTTTATTGTCACATAGATCGTTGTTTGCTATACCCCATGGCTAGGAGTTTGCGATACGTTACTGTACTGTCTAATTGTCTCTTTCGTTTGGCGCTACCTCGGTTCGATCACATAGACTTAGAATAATACAACAAAGATAAACCTCATCGAAGATCGGAGCGAATGTGATGAAATGGTCGATGGCTTGCGACGACAATATTCTTTCTTTCGGAGAGCCATTCGAGTACGCGTGCCTGTATTCGGCTCCCTAAGTGGTAGATTCGGTTGACTGCGCAATTGCTAGGATGGGTTGTGCGGGAGATGTTCGCAGGACGTTCCTTTTGAACTCTTTCCGCAACTCATGTGCATTCGGCGGGATCCAACATGGGCATGTCGGGAACAATGAGACACCCGGTGACTGTCCCTCTCATAGTTCATGGCGCTGACGTAAGGCGAAGTATAGATGGAATGTGATACTGTTGTCTGTCCGACGCGAGAACTTTGGATAATACCGTGTAGATGAAGGGTCATGAAGGGTCTAGTGAGGTGGACCCAGATGAATCTTGAACGCTGATCCCCTAGGCAAATGAGTAATCCGACCGTCAGCCGATACGACTGCAAAAGGAACTTTCCTTATCAATGAAAGCTTCCCCAGGTTCGAGACAGCGGAACCGGAACCGAAGGCGAGCCGGATGACCTCAGACGACCGCAAACGTATGGAGCGACGGAAGCGTTTTCATGAATAGATAGCTACCCACAAGAAGATCGTAAGATCTAGCTGAGTCTTCGATATTGCGTCCGCGGTCCGTCGCTTTAGGCGTGCCTGGGTTGCCGTGGAAATATTGAAAATGACGACAATACACCTCAGCCCATTATCAGCCGTCGAACCTTCCCCGTGCGCCGTCTCCACACACACCCCGCCCCCTCAACGTGAAACCTACCACGGCTCACGTCTTTCAACGCGTGTCGTCAGTATCGTGTTATGGTGTCGCGAGGCCGCGAATGAAGCACGAAAGGCTGGAATAGGCACGGAGAGTTTCTTTGGTTGGCCTGAATGGTGAGGGGAATAAACAGGGCGCGACCCGACGATCACAGTTAGACAGGCTCACTCAGCACAACTGCAAGCGAGGCCGCTTTCTATATACGCGTTCAGGATAGTAAAACCTGCGTCTTACTATACATACTCACCGGAACACGCATGAGCATCCGCACCCAATCCAATCCAATACAATGGCCAAAGGGCTTATCCCAAACAGCCAGAAGCAACTCAGCCGCTGCACTAGATGAATCACCAACGCGCGCTTGTCATGCTTCTCAGGGTGCCCCTCTGCATGCCAAACCGCGTCTTTACCGCATCCGGTCCAACAATTACGCAGTCGACACGTCTTTTGACACGTCTCACGCGTTCGCGGTAGCACATGATCTACCTCGCACGCGTCGCACCAGACAACCGGGCACGGCTGGCTAGACTTGGCACGCGACGTGCGACACAATTCCATCACGCCTCTCCACACAATAAGCCCAAGTGGATACTACGGCTTATGCTCGCGGGCTGTGACTGGCCGGACAGTGACGGCTGCGAGGAAAACGTTAGGCCTCGGCGTAATGCCTGGGCTAATCGACGCGTGCGGCCGCGAAACTTCAACTTCGGGGTTGGTGATGTGGGCTGGTGCATCCACTTGCTGCATGTTTTATTTTTTCTCGCCGGAACATCGTAAGCAAGGTCGTCTTCGCCGGTCAGGCTTCATTTACACAGAGCATGTGCAGGACTTATTGGCTTCTTGTTCTATGTCGGGTATTGAAACAATTGTTGCATTTCGTCAAAGAGCACCAGCAGGGGGATCCATCGCGTCGTGGCTTAGGGCTAGGTGCCTACCATGGATCATGGGCAATCGGCACAGACCAGACATGATGACGCCTGTGCTCATGTTACGGAACTACTTACGGCACGGCGGTGCGGAGATCAGTGCACGAGGAGGGGCTTATGTGGAACGCTCAGTCTCTTCTTCACACTCTTTGCATCTGGTCATTTGGATCATCCATTTCATTCATTACTAGCTCATCTGCTCGACGCATCTCATCCCTTCAGAAAGGACCAGCTGATCTCTCAAAATGTACAGGCTCTCGTTCGAACGGTCGTCCTAGCCAGTATCACCCGTCCAGCCGATCCAGCCCTCCGGACAAAATCCATATCGAAGCCGATGCCGCCGAAAGACAAGAGATTAGGTATCAGTCGTTCACGCTTCGATACAGTCGTTGAGATTCGTGAAGACTCCATACCAAGGGACGCCGATATCCCACACACACTTCGTAACGTTCATCATGTCCGTCGTGATAGAAGAGGAAGACATGAACACAAGGAAACAAGAAGCCGCACCGTTTGGTGGGCTTGAAAAGAGAGGACGTTGCAGACAAGCAAAAGTGCCGGAATACACAAAAGAGCTGGGAAGACTGGGGTAGTTGTCTGGGCACCCTTCTGATGGGAAGGTGTGTCAGACCGAACTACACTTGGCCCCGCCCTCCCACACTCGAATTACTGAAGTTGTTCGAAGACACATGTAGCCACATGCCATGTCCAAGAACTAAAGGCCCAGAACATAGACAAGAAGCCAAGGTGCGAAGGTCTGCCGACCCCGCCGGAGGTATACCATCGACGGCGAAAGGCTGTCGGTGAAGAAGATGGAAGTTGGTATAGACAAACAAAGGAAATGCTTTTCATGGAAGCAGGAGTAAGTAAGCCCGTGGGCCAAATGGCAAGTATATGCAATGACGGCGGTTGAGGCCGTCGGTCGTAACGCCGATGATGCAGTCATGCTCAAGTGCAATGATGAAGCAGAAGACAAGATCGTCGAGCTCTAGGATCGGTACAGGTATGCTGAGTCGCTAGGTGTTCCGGCAAAACGCTCCTCGAACGAAGCTGGAGGCTCGAAGCTATGAGATACATTCGCTCGAGGGAAAGTATTGCTCGATCGACCAACGAATGGCGAACCCAGGCGGACGGTGCCTTTGTTCTGGGCTTCCATTGGCACGGCAGGGGATGTTGGTGCCGGGCTAGGCATAGCAGAACCGCTTTGTGCGAAAGGGTTCAACCCTAACGGGTCGTTGATCAAAGGCAGTCGTCGGGCGCCTTCCATCATATCACCCAAGCTGAAGCCACGGCTCCTTACGCGACGATGACTCGATTCAGCTGGGGCTCCGAAGATCTCGTTGACGAAGCTGTCTCCACGGTTTCGCGCCCTATCTTCGAAGCTGTTGTGGGATGGGAGCGCCCGACGCTTGAAGACTCTTGACTTGGGTCGCGGCGCATGCAGTTGGAAGGGTGAGCCCAGACGTGGGGTGTGACCAGCAGACGACGGTGCATGCCATGTTCGGGCATTGCTCTGGTTTGTGTTGCTGTTGCTTGACTCATTCCTGGCGCGGAATGGTGAGCCTAGCAGGTTGCCTAGTCCGAGGCCGATGTGAAGCGATTGTGACTTCTGGTGAGCAGAAGAACGCGCGCTTGACCATGTTCGCGGTGCCGGTCGTGGTGTGATATCTTTGGCAAGTTGCGACAGTGGGTTGCCCAACTGCATCGACGCAGCAGTGCTTGTAGCCAGCGACAAGTTCATGTCCCTTGTGGAAAAGGACGTGGAGCCTTGAGAGAATGGCGAAGACAGCGGCTGCTGCTGTGGTTGTTGTTGACGCGGTTGTGGCTCGGGCTCAGGTGGAGGAGACGATTGCAGCGGCGAGGGCGACCGACGAAGCATACGCTGATAGTGTGCAGAGAGCGATGGCTTCTGTTTAGCCAAGTCTCGTAAGCGCTTCCGACATTGCTTCTCACTGGGGTAGCGCATGGTGGACCTGGTTGGCCTAGCTACAGGTGTGTTACTACCGCTCCTGATCGGCCTCATGGTACCCGGTGTACCGGCAAGGAAGCCGTGTTGTGGGGTCGCATTGAGGGCACCAGCGCGAGAAGACTTCGGGCCCTTCCATGTCTTGCGAGCCATCCTCGCCACACGATGGCAGACTCCATTTGGTGGTGTAGTGCTCGGAAGGGCTTTGAAGGGTGTCACCGTAGGGTCTTGAAGGTACTTCATGTAAGTCATCCACAAGTGGTGATCCATCTCCTCGCTGAAGGTGGCTCGCAACTTCAGCTTGGTGGCAGAGCGAGATTGTTGGGTACCCATCGAAGGTGAGCTTGGTCGTTGGGCTTTGTTTGTGGGTGGGTAGAACGCGAAAGGGTCTGATGATTCATCTTCGGGGCTCGTGCAGCTGCCGCCTCTGGACATGAAGGAGCCAATGCTATCGCAGGACGAGACGGATGAGTCTGAGAAGCCTGACGATGAGGTGGGTCTGCTAGAGGTTTCACTCTGGCTGACATGTGGGACGTCGGACCAGTCCTGAGTTCCCTCGTAGTGGCTGATTGTTCGCACTTGGGCAGCGGGAGTCTTGGGTGGGGAAAGCATACGAGGGAAGCTGAACCCTGGAGACAAGAATGCGTCGTTTTGAGGTAGTGAGTAGGGTGGTAGCAGGTTGGAGGTTTCCGACATGACTTCGGGAGCCTCAATTGTGGGGATGGGTCGCTGGTCCATGACGGCGTCCATGTCGTCGTTGTTCATGACGAGGGTGGCACGGCGGCGACGCACCTTGAGCACCTGTCGGGGCGGCGGCGGCGGTTGCATCTGCTCGGGTTGCGGCTCTGGCTCGGGAGTCTGTGGAGCCGGGCCGTCACGGTAATGGAACATGAAGTTCCTGGGTAGGGTAGTAGATAGGTTGGGGCGTTCGGCGTCCATGTTGCTGACGTTCCGATGTCGTGTTTCAGGATACGGTTGTCTTTGACCACAACAACAGGTCGACTTCAAAGACACTGCAAGGAGGAACGGCAGTTAAAACACGACAAACGATCAATGCATCCGGTCTGAGGGTGTTCCGGTTGCTGTCGATGTGGCTTGATTATGCAGGGCGGTGGTGATAGGTCTCGGGACCCAGCAGGCAGGTGTTTGGTACTCTGCGAACGCGACTGTGCGGCTGCAGGTTGGTTACACGTGCAAGCAGGACGGCTGCGCCTTGATAAAGCGGGCGTACTGTCGCAAGATGTCGCGCACTGTCGGAAGTAGTGACAACGGACGATTTCAGTGTTGCAGAAGCTCTGTCGACACGAAGAATGCGCGAGTGCTCTTATCGGCGACGATGGCGCGTAGCTTCACGTCGCGACAAACAGCTGTCAACAGACGGATGCGCGATTAGCAATAGTCGAAGACGATGCGCAAAGGTCCAAAGATGCGTCGGAAAACGCGTGAATTATCGTGAAGGGTGGCGATGGCGGGTGTTGGCGAGATATGGGAGTCGTGGGTCGCGATGAGAGGAGCGGGAGCGTGGGCGGAAGCGAATTGGGCGCCTTAGTCCGCGTCCAAGGAAAGCGCAAGCGAAAGACAAGATTCGTAAAAGACGTAAGGAAACGGTCGTCAGGAAGTCGCGTGGAGCGCACGGGAGTGCGACGAGCGAGAGTCGGCTCGGGATTATCGTGAAAGTCGTGATGGTGAAGGTGATGTGCGGTGAGGTTCGCAAAAGTCGGCTGACGGTTGCTGCCCGGCTAGTGCGAGACAGCGGACGGGCTTAGGCCAAGATCGTCGATAGAACCTCTGCAAACCCACCAAGTGCCCCGAGCCCCATACAAAATCAAACACTCCGCATCCAACACTTTGCGCAATCTGCTCGCATGAGGCGTCATGCGATGCTCTGCGTCTTTTTGCATCGCATCCCGACGCTGGTACTCCCACGCAACACGTGAAGCTGTTGCCGCAGACCGTCGATTGCGAAACTGACGCGTCTCGACGCGCTCACTGTCCCGGCCTAACCGCTTTCGATGCATCATGGCCCGTGCAATCATACCTTGATCGTGGCGCTCTCTTTCGACGGCCCCTGCATAGAGACCTTGTTTTTCTGCAAGCACGAACACCTGTCACGACTTTTTCATCCAGTCGCCCGCTGCCAACATGCTGCAAGCTGGCAAGCGGCTTCGCGGCATGCATAACGGTCCCTCCCCGTTGTCTTTTGCTTTTCCCTCCCCGCTCCATCTCATCCACTTCTTCTGCCGTGTCGTCGACATGAATGAGTGACGGCGAGCAGATTCCTGCCACCTGTGCACTACGCTCACGGCTAAGGGCACACTGGAGACCCCAATTCGCTACGACTCCAACCCTCTACTCCACAGTGGAGCCTTGGTCATTGCTCTACAATACAACAACAGCACGAGTCATTACTACCTCGCTGTACTACGTACCACAGCCAATGCTTCAGCCATCAGCTTCGTTCGTCTGGTTAGAGCGATTCCAGTGAAAACCTGACTTCCATCCATTCGAATTTCTCCCCTGTTGGCACAACATCTGCATAGACGTTAACAAGCGCGACCCTTTTTTTGCGCCCCAGCCCGTCCTCCAGGAATCGGAGTGCCGAAACGTTGTGCTTCCCGCGCTTGGCTGCGAAAAGGGTCTGGATCGGCAGCTCATCACACCCACCAATATCTGGCTATTCCGAAATGCACGTGTTTCGCTCGATTTGGAAGTCCAGTCGACCAGCCGTCTTCGGCTTCGATTTTTCATTGGCTGACTTGAGCTGACTTTAACACTGCCGAGCACCATGAGGGTCTTAGAGTGGATTCGAGCCGCTCAACACAGCACGAGGCCTATAATGCAGCCCGTTCTAGGAATACCAATGGCTGTACTATGGGCGTTAAACACCTTCATTAGTCGGTAGTGCGGGGGCTTCACGCCCTCGTGAACAGCTTTGAAGCCCACGCTCGCTTCTAGCAGATCAGGCGATCATCGAACATGTATTAGCTCATCGGGTAATGAGGACACACTTCGCGACGCGCGCACCACATCTAATAGTGACAGGTGCTCTACTGTCGCCGCGCCTTTTTCAGACATCCGCTGCTCACAAATATGTTACGCAACACCGAGCAACTCACAGCGGTGAACACTTTGGTGGAGATCCTAATATGGATATCAGGCTATGGCAGTACGATCTCCGTGCTACGAAACAAGACGCGTCCATCGCTATTAACCATCTGAATCGCAAAGTATAGAAGCTTGAAGGCAAGACTGTTTTGCAGCTTATCGCGCATACACAAATCAGAGGATGTCCTCCCGATTTATCCAAAAGAGCTGCGATGGGAATGTAGCGTTTCATACCCCGATGTCGAGTATGTTGGTGTCGCAGCGATACTGTGCGTGACTAGGCAGCATCATACCTGCGCTCCGCCTCTACAACATCCTGTAGGAAACACGATGAAGGAGTTGTCAGTAGAGATCTAACTCGCCGCCACAAGCATAGTGGTGGTGGCTTGGTTGTCTTATCTGCTTTTCTCTCAGCCCAGCTGCAGTGTCAGCCTTCCCAACTCAGCCTTCTCCTTCGACGCACATATAAGTAGCCCACCGAATTTTCTCCAAGACGAACTCACAGGTTTGCTGCATCGGTTGAATGTCTTTGACAGAACAAACCATCAGTATTCCAATGGAAGACTGGGTAAGTCTGGCGCGTTTTGGCGTGTACGATGCTGATGACTCCAGGTACCAGGACCCCCACCACCTTTCTCGGCGACACTGAGTCCGTCAGCGCCCGTTCAGTTTTCCCGTGGCAATGATGCCTTGAACGTCTCCAGCTTGCCTTCCGAACCGAACTATCAACAAGCTTTAGAGTCGTTGCCAACACTTGTTGGGCGTTCTCGCAGGTTTTTCTTCGCGAACGATGATCCATCGACCTTCCTACAGGATGATCTGAATCTCAACCGGCTCAACAGGATTCACGATTATCTGTGGCTCGCGGGAAGACCAATGGCGGCACGTCCACTACATCGATACCGACTAATAGGATACGATATCCTAGGTACGCAACAGATGGATTTACATCTCATCAAGCACCAAGGATCTCCAAACAAGCTATGGGTGAAGCCACTTCCTTACTGGATATTCTCTCACGAATTCTGGTCGAAACACATCTGCCATGAGGATCAGTTATGGCAATCAGCCGCGGGGCTATTGGCAAGCTACACGTGGCTAATCACAACACCCTTGGACCTTCAAGTTGCATTAGATCTTACTCTTCTACCAGGAACTGTAACTTGGGCTCAGTGGAAGCTCTTCGTTAGAAGCTTCTGTGAGCATGTTGATGTTAATCGTTTGCATCAGGTGAGTAGATCATGTTCAATTTATGGGATTGAGATGCTTATAAGCGGCGCCATCAGGTGAACAGAAGATACCATTATGGTGTCTTACAACTGGACCGTCTAAATACGATTTACCGCAGCAGATACTTTGCAACCCATTTTGTGCGTGGCTATCTGTACGGCTATCGCCCATACACACCTTTCTTCGAGAGAAGGTTCTCCTGGGCTTTGATTCCGTTTGGTGTTTTCTTGACAGTAATCCTGTCAGCAATGCAAGTCGGTACCGGCCTACCTGATCTAGGAACCAATCAAGCGTTTTTGGACGCCTCGAACGGGTTTGTCATTTTCTCGATGGCATGCGTGCTTGTTGTGGTCTCTACAGTAGTCATTGTGCAGGCAGTCGCCTTCATTATCAACATTGGGGCCGCTTTCTTCAACACAATGCAGCAGTTCAGAAGGAACAAATCCAAAAGAAGGGTACAAGAAAATGCGCGGTAATCTCTCAATTGTACCAAAACATAAAAAAATCCCCTATGGTAGAAATCTAAGCTATCTTATCATCTAGTGTTACATTGCTCCTCCATCTAACCGTCTAGTATATCTCACGTCTACAAACCGAGACCAGAGTTGAAGGCATCGGCAGCAGCCTGACCTGTGAGGCCCGAAGCAGCAGCCGCAGCATCATCGCAGGTGCTGACAGCCGCGGCGTCTACATCGCACTTGTTGGACATCTGGGAGCAGATGAACTGGGAGATGATGTCGATCTTCTGAGCTGAGCCGTGGTTGAAAGTGGCGAGATCAGTGGGCTCGAAGGCCTCCTCCTGACGGCCGTCGGAGGGAAGACCAAAGGTGATGGTAGGGTCGCAGCCGCCGAATGAGGCGGCACCCGCACCGGAAGCAGCGTTACCGGCAGCAGCGTTGTTACCGGCAGAGGTGTTGTTACCGGAAGCAGCGTTGTTACCAGCAGCATCATTGTTGTTGCCCGCATTGGCATTGTTGTTGGCGTTACCGACGTTGGCAGCAGCGTTGTCGGTAGCGTTACCAGCGGCGGCAGTGCTGTTGCCAGCAGCAGCTCCACTGACACCAGCGACCGCAGCGGCGATCTCATCTTCAGTGAGGTCATCGACACGAAGGTTCTGGGTGTTGATGCATCCCGCATCGTCGTTCTCGTCGTCGCAAGTGTTGCCGGCACCGGTTGGGTCGCCAATCTCGCCAGGGGCGAAAGTCGAGGCCTCGTTGGCCATCAATGGGTCTCCACCAACAGCGGCAATCTGGCGAGCAAGCTCTTCAGCAATTCCCTTGTTGAGCTCTGCAGCTCCATCGCTGGCAGGATCCTGGTGCTGCTGGAGAGCAGCAATCTCAGGGTTGACAGCCTGGATGGACTCGCAGGGAACGGAAGCCAGGCCGACAGAGCCTGTGTTGCGTTCCAAAGCACGGTAGATGAGAGCCATGGTCATGCCCTCAACATCACCAGCCTCCTTGGCGTTGGTGAAGGCCTGGTCAGCTACGGCTTGCTGGAGGCAGTCTGCAGATGATTAGCTTATTGAAGATGTGTAATGGGTTCCTCATGACTTACCAGCATCAGCGATGTCTCCAGCACCATCAGCGGCAGCAGCAGCTCCGAGG